AAACAATGCACCTGGGGTCTTACTGTACAAAGCTTCAAGATGCCTTAACCTGCTGCATATGAGATCATGCTCAAGGCTCTGTACTGTTTGCTGACATCAAATGAATAACAATCAAATTGTAAAGTTGCCATACCCTAAAAGAAAAATATGGTCTGCTAATGGTATTTTGATTGTGATTTATTTGCTTTGGGGATAAATAGTATTACAACAACTTAAGCTAATATTAGTTAAAAGTTGTTGATACACTTCCATATATATTTCTTATTGGATGGATTTGAGTGCTATTATTGATCGGTGGGCAGTGTATGTGATAGGAACTGACATTTTTCAAAATGGGCCTCCAAACTTTTCAGTGCAATGGCCACATCATACTGTATATTTTACAAAGTTTCACAGGCTGAAAAAAAAATCAGTTTTATAAATGAATACATAAAGTTTAAATCAGTGAATATGATTCAGAACAACAGAAAAAGAACATCAGTAAAGCAAAGCAAAGAAATTACAAATAAATTTGAGCCATCAATAAAGGCCAAACAATAATACATTTAGTCTGCACCATTCTTATCAGAGCCCCCATTAGAATTCCCCCCTTATGTCAGAGTCCCATCAGAATCTACCATTATACCAGAGCACCTCCTTACAAAAGAGTTCCCTTTACAACAGGGTCCCTATCAGAGTCCAACCTTACCTTTCCTTACTTTACCATACTTACAGTGCAGCTGTAGCATCAGGGCGGGAGGTGGAGCAGGTCTGGACGGAGGAAGTTTTATTCTCCTACGAATGCTGGGGCAAGTACTTAACTGGATGCTAGTGGAACTCTGCTGACCTGTGTATGAGCACAGTAGGCCCACATTGAGGATACACCACTGACCCTTGCTGTGGGCCTGTGGAGGGCCACAATTGGGCTGCGGGGCATAGTTTGGAGACCCTGGTTTATAACTATACAACAAGAAATGGAAAGCAGCTTATTAATGTATATCTAGTAAGAGTTATGCTGGTGGCAAGAGTGGCATTAAATAAACAGAATCCTCAGGACTTATTGCTAGTCAATTCTAATGGACATACTAAATTATTGGGAATAGAAAGAGATACCTGAATTTTCCAACATCTTACCAACTGCCGACCTTTTCCAAGTCAGAAAAGAAGTGTAGGTTGTTTTCAATGTTTTGTGACAGACGAAAAAGTATTATAGGAATAGGGAAAATAGGTGATTATTAAAATCCATTTGTCAAAGAGAAAACTGTGAATACAATTGTAATACTCGTACAATTATTGGAAACATTTTTCAAACAAGTTAAAAGGCTGCACCAGCTCTTGTGTACCAGCTTTTTCAACAGTTGATGTTCCAAACACAAAACCCAAGAACAAAATGTAATATTTTGTCTTTAGATATGATGGCTGCATTCATTTTTATTTTTTAAGCTAAGTAAGTTTTCTGCAAGTGCAGAGAAAATCCTGTTGAACCTGCAAGAGATTCATTGTCTTATAGTTTCCTTAACATAAAACTGAAATCCAAATGTTAACAACCTTCCCAGCTATGTTTTTTTAAAAAAAAACACCTCCTCTATGGAGAGAGGGAGAAATCTTCTGTAGTCTTGTGCTAGGGTAACAAAGCAGCTTCTTCATAGATAAAGATAGAAATACAGCGAGCGAGCATTGTCATCCTAAGAAAGGAAGTGTGTTACTGGCAGGATCACCACTTGAAAATAAAGGAAAAAAAAGTCTGAAAAAAGGAAATAAATGCAGCCACCACACCTAAAGAGTGATACGTTGTAATATATTAATATGTTATTAGATTTAGTTACACAAAAAAACTCATCTCAAGTCAGATGTTTTATGTGGTGTATAGAGCAAGGCAGCGTTAAAGCTTCTTTGGTTTTTAAGTCCTTTATCCCTGTTGTCAAGATTTCCCCCCCACTTCCAGTACAGAAAGAAAGAAATAATCTGTAACAGGGACACAAATAAACACACATTTTTTAGTAAACCTGTGGCAATGATTTTATTACCGTCCTTGCCTTCCTGTCATGGTGACAACTGCACCCATATTATTTGTAAAGGATCTTAAGGACAGGAAGTGAGGGAAGATTCCCCATTGGGGTCACAGACAGATATAAAACCTAATTAATTTGTTAATTTTTCCTCGCTCTATCCTAAACTAATTTTTATTTTCCATGGTGGTTGACAGTAATCCTGTCACAAACTAAGGTGACTCTGATTATGTATATGATCACAAGATACATATATGGAAATTACCTTTAGCAAAAACCACGTGAAAATATTCAATAGATTCAGAGATGTAGACGATTAATGGCATAGGTAAATCCCAACCTTTCAAATGAAAGTCAAGCTTAGCTCTATAATTTTCTGTCTCACAAACCTCTTGGCCTCCTTAGTGATGGGCAGACCTAGTGACTAATAGGGAACATATAAAGTGTGTATTATAATTTCCACTGGCTCGTAATTTAGATTTTTTACTGTAGGTAACCTCTTCCTTTGAATTTTTAAATCATATGTTCAGTTATATATTTGTGAAAAATGTATTTTTATGTGTTGGCTGCATTAGCAGGATGTTACTGCTTGTTTATGGATATATCCTCTTTGACTTTCTGGTTCTAAAATGACTGTTTCCCATAAGCACATGGCTATTTTATAGTTTTTTTTTCGGTTTGAGATATATAACCTTGACAGGGTGGCCTTAGTTACAATAAAAAATGCATAAGCAAAGTATATGTCCAATTCTAGAATGAATTCTAGAAGTAGAAAAATGTGAAAATACTTCCCTTAGATGAGAGGTAAAACTTAGAACAGTGGAAGTATTATACACTCCAAAACTAAACGACTGGTCAAGATAAAAGTGGCAAGAAGGCATGGACCAGTGGAAGCTTTCAAATCCAAAGGCCAAAAGCCCCTTGTTGCTGATGTCAAAAGAGAAAGCTGAAGTAGTGTTTTCCATATGGTTTGGGAATGCCCAAAGGTGAGGCCTCTGTGGTCTCAGGTGATTATTATTATTATTATACAGTATTTATAAAGCGCCAATAGTTCGCTCAGCGCTGTACATTACAAAGGGGGACAGAACAATACCAATACAATGCAAAAAACATAAGGGGATCCAGGGCCCTGCTCTTTCGAGCTTACAATCTAGGAGGGAGGGGATGGTGGCACAGCAGGAGATAGCTGTGGGGGATGGAGTGGTAGGAAGAGTGGAGGAGGTCGACAAGTTAGCAGGGGGTGGGGTAGGCTTCCCTGAAGAGATGGGTTTTCAGGGTGCACCTAAAGGAGAGGAGAGTAGGTGATAATCTGATGGGTTGGGCAGGGAGTTCCAGAGGATGAGTGACACCCTGGAGAAGTCCTGGAGGCGGGCATGGGAGGAGGAGACCAGGAAACTAGAGAGAAGGAGGTCTTGTGAGGAGCGGAGTGTGCGTGCTGGGCGGTACTTGGATATTAGGTCAGTGATGTAGTTCGGGGCAGTATGGTGGACAGCTTTGTACGTCAGCGCTAGGATTTTGAATTTGATCCATTGCGCAATCAGAAGCCAGTGGAGGGATTGGCAGAGGGGGGTGGTAGAGACAGAGCGGTTGGAAAGGTGAATGAGTCTGGCAGCTGTATTCAGGATGGACTGAAGCGGGGATAGCCAGCGGAGAGGCAGGCCAGTGAGGAGGGAGTTGCAGTAGTCGAGTCGTGATATGATGAGGGAGTGGATGAGCTGTTTAGTGGTTTCTGGAGTTAGGAACGTGCGGATTTTGGCAATGTTGCGGAGGTGGAGTCTGCACAAGTTTGTTAAAGATTGGACTTGGGGCTGGAAGGATAGGTTGGAGTCCAGAATGACACCAAGTACTCTGGCCTGCGGGGCGGGTTTGATGGTAGCATTGTTCGATGTGATAGAGAAGTCAATGAGGGGTGATGTCCGGGCTGGGGTGATGAAGTTTATGGTGGATAATTTTGGTTTCCCTAACATATGCAACCCTCTTTTATGTTTTTTGGGAGTTATTGATCATGAGGACATGGGTAGTGCTAGAAAATTGTTTCTTAAACTCCTCCTCTTCTACATCCATAAGCTTATTGCTAGGAGGTGGATTTACAAGAAGTCTTTAACTTTGGTGATGTGGAAGAGAATAGTTAATGCTGACCTTCCACTTTATAGGATGAGATATGAAGCCAGTGGTTGCCCCAAAATATTTACGAAGGTTTGGTTTCACTGAGAAGACTCCTCAGAACCTCTGAAGGGTGAATCAGCTGACCGCGGAACCTTCGGGAGGGATGGAAGGGGGTGAACCAAACCCTTTGTCGGTCTGAAGTATGGTGCAGTCACACACTCTAAGGGCTTTATCATTGCTTATTCTTGATTTTTGTGATTTATCTTTGTGTATAAGACTTATTAGCTTTTTAAAGGTACAAACTCTAAAAATGTTTTGCTAGACTGGGAGGTATATACATGTAATAGAATGTTTGTTACTGTGATCATTACTGAGAATGCATCTCTGGATGCTGATTTTTTTTTTGTAACTGGAGTTTATGGGCATGGCTATGTAATGGAACTTGTACAGTATGTTATGTATTTTCCTGATGTCTAGTAGTGCCTAGTAGTAGTGTACTTTACTAACTCAAACTACGTTTTTTCAGCAACATGTGTCCTGATGCATCAGGATTTATTTATTTATTTTTTAAAATTGTGGCAGGTTTCACAAATCTGAACACTGTAAGAAGCCTGACCTCTGGATGTCCAGTCACAATTTTTAGGGGATTAAATAGTGAAAGGGTGATTATATGGGGAATCACCTAATCTTTAGGCATGTTTATCTTCTTCATTGCATGGAACAAGGGACAAAATAAAAAGCAACATTAATGTATATAAGCTTTTCAGGCAGTGCCTATGATATGTATACCTTTACAATTTTGTCTGGAGTTCCACTTCTATAAAATGTAGTTGAATACATCTTTAACCATGTCAATTCAACATTCAATAATATCTAAAAACAATTCCAAATATTCTTTTTTTTCAGGAATGTGCACCTGGGCACTACCGTGAGAATCAGGGCTTGTACTTAGGAAGGTGTGTCCCATGTAGGTGTAATGGACATTCAACACGATGTCAAGATGGGTCAGGAGTATGCATCGTAAGTAGTGGTTTCATAAGTGACTGAAATTTTGTAGAAATTATTTAACATTATTTCTTACCTTAAAGTTAGCCATCTCAAAAGGGATATTTCAGTTATAAAATAGACTCATGGCTTTTTTATTTTTTGGTGGCACTGTTGATATGATCTCCCTTCTATATTCAATTTCTATGTTCTCAAACACCTTTGTTTTTTTCTAGCAATTCACATTGCTAATTATCAGGACACTTGAACACAAACACTGCTCTTTTTTATCAAGCATTCCTTTTCATTTCTGAGAAAGGAGATCTTGTAGTACTATGCCCGGGGAAGTATTTTATATTTATCTATTGTTAGTACAGATCGATCCTCTATGTGGTCAGCTTGAAATAGCTTTGAAGAAAGAATGCAATTTTACCTTTATTTATACCAAAGTGTTTAAGTTCTTCCTAAAATGTACTTTTTTACTGTCCTAGATTAGTTCTGTAATCAGTATGTTTTATGAAAGACTGTATCACGTAGAAACACTCTAGAATATTATATAGAAATAAAAACAGAAACGACCTACAAGTCACTGTATGCTTACAAAATTCAGAGAGAACTTATAATAATAGTAAGTAAGTATACAAAATACAGACTGGTATATTGTATGAATGAGCAGTAAGAAGGGCTGCAATGCAGAAGTGGACTTTGTGCAGGTGTGAGACAACAGAGATCTAGCTGCAGCATTGGAATGTGGTTACACAACTTTCAATGTATTGAAGCTTTAGCTTCACAATTCTTTCTCAGCAACTATTTAATATTTATTTACCAAAAGCCAATACAGCTGTCATTCCAGATAATTGGCACTCCGAAACGTTAAATGGCAGCTCACTGTCATTAAAGCAGTTTAGAATATCATATGTTCCTATAAAATATGTGTTGATAGTCTGTAATTTGGAGCCAGATGGGCAATGACTGACCTGGCCGTAATTGCGCCATTTCACTACAGGGAACTGTTGTGACTTTTACCACTGGCTCAACTTATGCTCTAATACTATTGTAGTACACTTAGAGTGAAAGAATCACTCCTATTTCTGTGGAAAAAAAAGAAAGGGTTTACTAAGCAACCACATAGATTGTCCAACATGTTGGTATACATATGGCACCTGTTCATATGGGAAATCATAACTTCACAGTATTTTGATCAACTACAATGCAAAATCTGATCTCTGTCTTCACCTGTTAGCAAACATTTGACGTGGAAAGTTGATGTATTAAAGTGCACTGTAAAAAATGTTAATAAAGAAGTTCAGGTTTTAAAAAAAAGTCATATTCATCTAGTTGGATGCAGCATCAGTGTGATGCTGCATCTGCCCCTGCTGCCTCTAAGCCAGAGAACTATGCAATCAAAGACCGCTGATTGCTCAGTTCTTGGCCTTCAGTCTGCGGAGAGCCAGTGACTGTCAGGCTCTCTGCTCTACCCCTCCAGTGCTTACTGGAGTGCTGGGATGTGTAGGGGGCAGAAGCGGCTGGCTCTTAGTGGTTCTTTGAAGTTGAGATCTCTTCAGAGCCTGGACTGGCTTTGTGACATCAGCCAGCAGCAGGCTTTAGCCCACTGTCGGCTGAAAACAGGTCACAGGAGTGCTCAACTCTGATCCATAGAAATAGGGCCAAAAGATCTTTGGCCCTACTTCTTCTTTACAAATGGATACATAAATGTAATAAAAACAGAAATAAAAAAAATCTGTTTACAAAATTGATATGTCTAGATTATTTTGTTTTTTGCTAAAATATGATGCAAGTATTGAACTATTTAATTAGCAAACACAAGCTAACTATGTTAAAAGAACAAATTCATAATCAAAATGGACACATTATAAAGTGATATGTTTAAACCATGCTGTGATACTAAGCTTAAAATGTCTTCATCTGGGTTACCAGGACAGAATTTGCTATGGATTTAGTGTGGAAGCAGTTTTGTCATGTAAGCAGTTCAGCAGTTTAGGGAGTGCCCAGATTACAGTTCACTTCTCAAGTAGAACAAGCCATTACAGGACTTGTGTGCTACAGGAAAATGCGGACATTTAATATCAGACTAGAACAGTCTGTAACTGAGGATTTCATCATGTCTATAAAAGGAAAAGTATGGGTCATATCATAAAATGTGGTTTGGAACACAACTATTACATTAATATATAACTATTAAATGTGACTATAATAACAGCGGCAGTCTCCATTAAATTATCACGACTGCAGTTGCATAAACTTCCAGAGTATGGTAACTTTTACTTTAATAAATGGCATAAAATAGAGATTTCTAATGTATACTGCCAAAGTTTCCTACAGGAATCACATATACATAACAACTAGCTTGGCAGACAACATAACAGGGGGTTTGTGATGACATTATAGATCTCTACCATTTAGTGAGTTCATCTTTTCTATCATCATGCTGAACCGAGCATCAGTCTTAATTTGGGCCCATACATTAGCACAGGAACTGATGGTCTATACCTTTATGTCCATCTTTCTGTATACTGCGTTTATTAATCCAATAGACATTTTAAAAGACAGACAGACGTTTCACCGAGAGCACAAGCAGTGAGATGTATTGAACCTGCTTGTGCACTATATTAAGCCAAAGTAGACATGAGAAGAAAATACCTTTCTTTCATTTACTATGAAAGAAGGGGAAAATCAGTGCCTTCTTCAGTGAGATTTTCAATAGGTTGAGATTTTAATCAGTAATGGCATTACTGTGTGTTCACTTTGGGTGTTTGTCAGTCATTGCAGCATAAAATGAATTTAGAGCATAATTTGGAGCAGTATTACAGCTTGTCTAAGAAGGTTTTAATTCGTGCTGTAGCAGGAGTCACTCATATTCAGTTGGACTTGCTATAGCTAGTAGTCGTTAGTCACAGTCAGTTTGACTTGTTTAGTAATGTTGAAGATGTTTAACCACTCTTTCACATTGCTTCCTCAGTTTAAAGTCTAGTAACTGTCAGGAACATACCCCAGCATTAATATTCAACAACTTTAGGTGACAACGTGGTCAATTTAATCCAAATGACAAAAATGTGTTAAGGCAGATATTGATTTTTTTTCAAGATTATGATTGAAGGTGAAGAAGGTTGTGAAAACACCCTGTTCCAATTTACATAATCTAATTGCCATGGTGCCAAGAGGTTTGAGAAAAGAGATTTGCAGGTTTTTCCATATATGAAGGACCATCTTCATTTTTTTAACCATTTGCTTTAGATTTTGAGGATTACTAGAAATAGATCAACTTACTATATGCAATGGCAGCATGGTTTTAAAACACAGTTGTATTTGGAATTTACTAAGACTGGTGCAGCCAGAACCTGGTGCAGCTGTGCATGGCAACCAGTCAGCTTCTCTCTTTTATTTTCAAAGCTTAAAGTATAAGTGCACCTTGGGGAACATTATACATTTTCCACCCCTTTTTAGGTTGGAACATGTAACATATTCCCCATGCTGTGCCCACTACCCGATACATCCCGTACGGGCAAGCAAATATACTGACTGGTCTGCAGGAGACCTGCATGGCACCAGCAATCTGCTGATCGCTGGTGCAATGCTTTACAGGCTCCTGCAACAAAAAATAATAAATGCACATTTTTTTTTACCTGCAAAAAAATTTGCATTTATTATTTTTTGTCAAAAGTTGAACTTATCCTTTAACTGAACAAACTCAAGGTAGATGATGATTGGTTACTATGCACAGCTGCTCCGGATTCTGTTTGCTCCAGTTTTAGTAACACCAACCTTAATGAACACCCCTCTGCTAGGATCACCTACCCCCCCTACAAATAACATTTTCTTTTTTTATAGTCCTAATCTGGTTTAGAACATGGTGACATTTTTTAAATATGCTTCTATGAAATGACTATATTCCTGCGGATGACAGGGAAATAATGTCTGAATCTTGTAAAGGAAAAGCTGTCTCTTTGCCTACAGTATCTAAAAGTATATCCAGGCTTTACATTATTTTAACTCACTTCTGTGTTACATTTGTAGAACTGCCAGCATAATACCGCAGGTGACCACTGTGAATTGTGCAAAGAAGGTTACACTGGGAATGCTGCAGAGGGGTCCTGTAGCTTATGTGCTTGTCCTCTCCCTGTGCTTTCAAACAGGTAGGATATTGTTTTAACAATACTGCAAAAGCTCTCATCTTACAAATGGTATACACATTCACAGTCTATACATAAAGAGACTGATATATGATAAAAACATGTTCAGAGGAAATTGTACATGTTATTTAGGGCCAGATCTGGAGTAGAGGACTCTTTATTATAACACACGTTGGTCCATATCTGTATGGATGTTTGCATCTTGCTAAGCCTAGTACAGCAATCATGTTGCATGGGTACTGTTTTGTGGATCCTATGCATAATAGATATTGTTTTCAGTGAATTTTGCTGTTTTTCATCACATTATGTTTATTAATTTATAATGTATAATGTAAAGTACTACTGAAAATTAAGAACCAACGGTTCATGGTTGGAAACTGGTGAACAACAAACAACGCAGGTCGTGCTCCACCCCAATAACACCATATATCAGAGCATAAGCAGCAGATGAAATGTAGACATAAAAGCACAGTGGAGAACATATACAACATATTGTACAAGGGGACCAAATGTTATTAAATGTATTGACTTTTAGTCACTGTGTTGTAATTAAAAATAAAAAATGTAAAAAAAAAAAATATTTGCGCATCCCCTGTTGCTGTAGGTAGTTTTATACATTGGAGAAGAATTTCTAGGAGTTTTCTGTTTCTGAAGGGTTGGTGATTGTGCTACTTCCTTAGTAGCACAATCACCTTTTTGGCATAAAAGAATAGCAGACCAAGTAGCATTCTAGTGGCTTTTTTTGGGGCTAAGGGTTCAAAAAGACCCAATAAACAGACATCCAATTCCAGGGGTACCTGAATGTTGGTAACATCCCCAGTGAATTGCAAGACTGAGTCCAGTATTGGCTTACCACGGGGCAGATCCAGAAGATGTGGAGGAAGTTTACATTTATACTGTTTCATCTCCAGCATGAAGTGGAGTGATTTGCCAGAGAGGTCAAATTGTGGTCAGGACTGAGAGCCCCTCTGGAATTTCCCAATTTTTTTAGGCTTTCGGAGGAGGGCCTTGGAGGCGGGTGGATTTGAGGAGTGGCTGGCTACACACTTGAGGAACCTTTGCCAATCCCCAACAGGAAGTTTGGCAAGTGGCTAGGACTCCCTTAAAAGTGGAAGAGCCTGTTCAGTAGGAGGAGTGTGGTGGTGGGAGAGGAGTGTGAAGCAGGAACATGTGAGGCTGGAGGAAGAAGGCTACCAGGAGGCCCAGTGGGATGGGGCTTGCCGGCAAGCCTGGAGCTGGAAAGGAGGAAAACTCAGGATGCACTGGCCCCCAGAGAGGGGATTACCTGTATGGCGGGGAAGGAGCAGCCCAACTGATAGGCCTGGTAGCAGCAGCCATTCCGTAAGCAGTACAGCAGAGGATCTGGGTGAGTACACCTACAACCCCTGGGTGATTAGGGGAAGGAGCACTCTGGTGGGAAATCCTATTAGCCCTTTGCTAGTGACTGTTACCCATTTAAAGGAACAGGAGCCAGATCCCCTGCTCAGGAAGAAAGTCTTCAGATTGCTGGGTGAAGAGGAGTTCACCTAGGGTCTGAGGTAGTACAACTGGAGCTGCTGGCTAGCACTCCCAACAGAGACTGTGTCAGAGAAGAGAAGCTGTGAATAGTTCAAGAAGTTGTCCTCAAATTTCGGTTCCTTGAGCATCCAATACACCTCTTACTCTATCCAAGTTCTAATCCCCTCAATAAAATAACAAAACAAACGCTCAAGGACTGATTTCTGTCTATGGATGAGAGCTTGTGTAGAAAATGCTAACTGGTTGGCTGTGCAGGGCTATGGGGGGACCCAGATTCATCGGCAATCCCTAAGGGGACAGTGCTACATCTGGGGTGAGGTAGTTACAATAAATGATTTTGAGTTTTGCTGGTGTATTAAAAAAAAGTGTAATTGAGGCTTCACAAGACATCAGCCCACAAACACTTTAGGTAAGACAAGCCATTTTGGTAAATGCCAGCATTTCCAGTCTGCAACAGATTTTGCATATAGCATCCCCTCCGGTACCGGGAGTTACTTTGCTGTTGAAGATTAAAAAATGAAAGTGAGATGTATTTTATTTATAAAAAGGCCACTAAACTCCAGTTGAAAAAAGAAGAGGTTCCGGATCAAACTGAGTACAAAACAAGAAAGCAGAAAAACACAGTAAGAAATTATTTCATTAAAAATAGATTACAGGACCACTTTAAAGCGGAGCTCCACCCAAAAGGGCAAGTTCCTTTTTAAGGACTGCTCCTCCACTCCCCATTAAGGATTGGCACCTTTGGGGAGCTGGGGGGGAGCGGGTACCCGAATCTGACAGGTACCCACTCCCACTTCCAGTCCGATCACCTAGGCAACCAGAAGTGAAAGTTGTCCTCCTTCCCTCCCTCCCTGTAGTCTTTTGGGACACGTGACAGGTCCCAGAAGACTACAGGACCATTCATGAAGCACAGCGCTACTCGTGCACGTGCAGTGGGTACCCGGCTGTGAAGCCGCAAGCTGTCACAGCTGGGTGCCCACACGGCCGGTGTAACGGGCTGCGGGGGACACACCATGGGACCAAGGGACAGATAAGTGGCTGTTTTTTAAAAGTCAGCAGCTAGTTTTTGTAGTTGATGACTTTTATTTTTTGACAGGGTGAGTGGAACTCTGCTTTAAGTACAAAACTGTCTCATTCACTGGCTTCAATGTTTTACAGGTTAGCTCAGAATTATTTAATTTTAGTGCATTTTTATGAAGTAAAAACCAAGACAGATTGCTGCACAAATGTGTTTATCTAAGGAATCCATACAAATCCTGACACCCAGCTGTAAAATCTAGGTGGCAGGCAGACAATGACAGAATGATAGTTACAATAAATCTATGTTTTGTATTAGAACTGTAGATGTATTCCACCAGATTGTTTGCTATAGAAAAATAATTATTTAATTAATTTGTTATTTTCAGCTTTGCCACAGGATGTACAGGTAGCGGGAGAAATCTAAATGTTTTTGCAAGCCTGGATACACTGGATATAACTGTGGAGAGTAAGTATTCACCATATTCGGCTACATGACAGAGTACTTTACACAGAGAAGTGTGAAATTTGCAGTGCTACCTAGGTGTTATATGTGAAATATTTCATTGCAGCTTTGCTATGCTTATACATCACATACTGTATGCTAAGTACAGTTTACATTTTATGCTAAGATCTCTTCTCATTTTTTGTGCAGATGTGCACAAGGATACTATGGCAATCCATTACGGTTGGGTGGCAAGTGTCAACCATGTAACTGTGGTAATAATGGGCAGTTGGGCAGTTGTGATCCTTTAACTGGAGGTAAGAATACCTATTAATACTGTATATACTCCGTAATGTGGGGTATAGATAATGTCATGTAAAAGTAGATGGAGGACTTACAATGTGACCTGTGGTGGTTACAAATATTTTTTGTGTTCTATCTTTTTTTTTGTAATTTATATTTACAACTAGCACAAAAAAGAACGTTAACATACTTTAAAATATTTTAATTTTTTTAAGTCAAATAAATATGAAAGCTTGCATATAACTATGTTATATATACATCCCAGCCTGTAGGTTGCACTCTAGTCTCCTGTATCGTGTTTTTTTAACTGCTTTGATGAAAATAGCATATTGTTCACATAACTCAGTAGCTGAAGCTGATATTTACTTACACAATTGAATAAGTTTGAAGTGTTACTCATCTCTGGCATTGATATTGATTATCTTCAATTGACAAATTCAGTGTGCTTTTGCCCTCAGTTTGAGATTCTTCTGCAATGATTCAGTTCATTGCAGTTGCCTACAGTTAAGCCACTTTAGGCAGTTTTTTGAATTCCCACTGAGTTTTATGGAAAGAGAAACAGTTCTGAAGCAAACAAAAGTCCATCAATACAAGGCCCTTAAATCAGATAGTGACTGGAGTTGTCCTTGAAGTGCTTTGCCTGCTTGCTTTTTTTTGACCTCCAAAGATTTTATCAGATCAGACTTAACTATTTTTTTTATTTTTTTTCCAGAATGCCTTGATGAAGATCCAAAGGACACTGGAGATGATAACTGTAAGTGTTAAGCTTTCTGTCTACAGCAGTTCCCATTCCCCTCTACTACAGGCAGATACTGGATGGTTATGGAACCTGTCCACTCTGTCCCTCTCCCACAATCCTATTGGCCTTTTACTAAGATGGAATACTTTTCTGTCCAGTGGTGATGTATGTGAGGCGGAGAGGGTAGGCGTATTCAGCTGTAGCAGATTTGAATGATAGTTGCTGCATGTATGTGCAAGAACATCTAGGTGTTTATTAGTGTCTATAAGCCTTATAAATTCTATTTTTATGTTTGACATTTGGGTTCTTACAGTATGTGACAGCTGCGTTGACACTCTAGTGAAGGATCTCATGACAATACAAGATGAACTCAACCTGATAAAGGCAAGGCTGCAAAGCTTTAATGCCTCCAGCCGGTCACTGAAGCAGATCAGAGATCTGGAAGCCCGTATCCAAGAAGTAAAAGTAAGTGAAGTGAAGAGGTGCAGGTTAAAATTCTGAGTGTTATGGTAGATGGACTCTAGAATGATTTGTGCCCCAGCCGGAATATGGAGATCAGTTGGTAGGTAAAAAACGCAAGATAAAAGGGCTACAACCGCAATGGCTTGTCTATCAAACTGACCCTGATTTAATTGTTTAAAAAAGTTTTAATTAAAATAAAAACTATAATAGAGTATGGTCAGTTTGATTTTTTTTAATTACAAGTTCGCAAATAGATTTTGTATACTTTTTAAAAAAAATTTTTTACAATTTAAAAAATTACAGTCTTCAGGAAAGCTATCTGTGCCTACATTGGGTTGATTCACCTTATCTGTTTGTGCTGATGACTAATGTCATTAGAAAGAAAGTGATAGAAAATCCAAACATTTATTGTGCAGAAAGTGAAGGAACATATGTACCGGTGACAACTGTGTAGGAAGGCATTTCCCTCAGCTAAAGGAAATTCCCTTTCATTTCCTGATTGTCTGTGGGATCAAAAGTGAAGTAATTTTGCATTGCATTTATTATTTTATACAGCATTGTTTTATACAGTAATTGTTTATGCATCACAGTCTAGGGACACATGTATGAATGGTGTGAAAGACACAAACTTCAGGAATAAATCAAAAACAGTTACATATTTTGTTGGACTTCTTTTGCAGCTACAGTATGACATTTATAACAGTAAACTTACAAGTCAACGACAGAAAGTGGACAGTGTAGAGAAGGAAACTAACGAACTTAAACAGAAGATAGCAGCTCTGCTCGAAAAGGTGAGCCATAAAATACCTAGAACAAAGTTATTTGTGGATAGAGTTAACACTTTAATTAGGGAATTATAAATTGGTCATTCTTTCTCATTTTAGGCTCAAATGAATTTTAAGAAGTACGAAAACATCATGAAAAATGCTGATGATACTTTCCGTAGCGCTAGCAAAATGCTTCTGAACATTGATGTACTCCTGAAGAACATTAAGAGTATGTTATAAACAACATTTCTGAATTACAGCCAGTTTGGCAAGTTGTTTTGCTTAGAACCTTTTTTTAAGTAAAGAGCTATTCGAAACAAGTCTGTACAGCAGCTGGAACATGGATACATACACTGCTCAAAAAAATTAAAGGAAGACTGAGGAACTAATCAGAGTATAGCATCAAGTCACTTAAACTCCTGGGATATTGATCTGGTCAGTTAAGTAGCAGAGGGGGTTGTTAATCAGTTTCAGCTGCTTTGGTGTTAATGAAATTAACAACAGGTGCACTAGATGGGCAACAATGAGACAACCCCCAAAACAGGAATGGTTTTACAGGTGGAGCCCATGGACATTTGTTTCCCTACTGATCTTTTCTGACTGTTTTTCACTAGTTTTGCATTTGGCTGGTAGCATGAGGTGATACCTGGACCCTACAGAGGTTGCACAGGCAGTCCAACTCCTCCAGGATGGCATATCAACACGTTCCATTGCCAGAAGGTTTGCTGTGTCTCCCATCACAGTCTTAAGTGCATGGAGGAGATTCCAGAGACAGGTAGTTACTCTAGGAGAGCTGGACAGGGCCGTAGAAGGTCCTTGGCCTATCAGCAGGACCAGTATCTGCTCCTTTGTGCAAAGAGGAACAGGATGAACACTGCCAGAGTCCTACAAAATGACCTCCAGCAGGCCACTGGTGTGAATGGCTCTGACCAATCAGAAACAGACTTTATGAGGGTAGCCTGAGGGACCAAGGTCCTCTAGTGGGCCCTGTGCTCACTGCCCGGCACCATAGAGCTCGATTAGCATTTGCCATTGAACACCAGAATTGGCAGGTCCGCCACTGGCACCCTGTGCTTTTCACAGATGAGAGCAGGTTCACCCTGAGTACATGTGACAAACGTGAAAGGGTCTGGAGAAGCCATGAAGAAAGTTATGCTGCCTGTAACATCATACAGCATGTTCGTTGTGGTGGTGGGTCAATGATGGTCTAGGGATGCATATCCATGGAGTGATGCACAGACCTCTACAAGCTAGATATTGGTGCCCTGACTGCCATTAGGTATCGGGATAAAATCTTTGGACCCATTGTCAGACCCTACACTGGTGCAGTGGGTCCAGGGTTCCTCCTGGTGCACGACAATGTCCGACCTCATGTGGCAAGAGTATGCAGGCTGTACCTGGAGGATGAAGGAATTAATACCATTGAATGGCCCCCATGCTTGCCTGACCTAAATCCTATAGAACACCTCTGGGATATCATGTTTTGGTCCATCCTAAGCTGCCAGGTTGCACCTCAGACTGTCCAGGAGCTCAGTGATGCCCTGGTCCAGATCTGGGAGGAAATATCCCAGGACATCATCCTTCGTCTCACTAGGAGCATGCCTGAAAATGTCAGGGGCCATACCAACTACTGAGTACCATCTTGAGCTGCTGAATTGAAATTTCAGCAACATGGACTAGCCTGCTGCATCATTTTTTTACTTTGATTTTTGGGGTGTCTTTGAATTCAGTCCTCTGTAGGTTGATAATTTTCTTTTCCATCAATTAATGGGGCATCCTTAAGTTCCTAACACATTACCCAGTCCATGTCAGTATAGATATCCAGCATGATATTTTTCCCCATTAAGATCAGATGTGTTTTCAACGTGTTCCTTTATTTTTGAACAGTGTATACAGTATATGTTTTATTTCAGTGTTTCATGTTTAATAAAACAAAAAGTGCCTTTTATATTACTTTTTAATCTGGTAAATGCAAAGGTTGCTCGTATTTACCACTTGCATTCAGCTAGTGGCAAGCTCCAAGCAAAACAACTGCTTTTTATAGAACCTGCAGTGTTGACAAAGAAAGCTTAACAAAATGAGATACAAGAATGCAGAGTATGTAATTGGTTCAGAGAAAAGACACAAGCCCTCCCAATCTCATAGCAGAGACAAGACTGATCAGACTGTCAACAAGTGTGTAGAAATGCAGTGCTAGGCTTTCTTATTAGAAAGCCCAGTATGGTTTGCAAAGGGAGTGTTATGCATGCATGCTGAATTAAACATTTACTTATAATATATTTATAAGTTATAATGTTGTAATATACTTATAATATAAAGATTTTATACATATATTTTATTAGAAAAATAGAAAACATAAAGATTTTATACACTAGTATATATAAATTAAAAAGCTATTAGCAGTAAAATAGTAGTAAATATAAAACATTAGTTAGTTAGCAGTATATAAGTAAAATATAAAACATTAGTTAGTTAGCAGTATATAGTAGTAAATATAAAACATTAGTTAGTTAGCAGTATATAGTAGTAAATATAAAACATTAGTTAGTTAGCAGTATATAGTAGTAAATATAAAACATTAGTTAGTTAGCAGTATATAGTAGTAAATATAAAACATTAGTTAGTTAGTACTCCACTATTATGCTTATATTGAGTAAATGTGGTGACATGTATTCCTGTGATTTTCCAGTCCTCATTAAAGAGATTGCAAGTGGACCAGCTGAACCATCAAGTCCTGGAGAAGTGTCCTCTAAAATGGCTGAGGTCCAACGCATGTTAAATGAGATGCGAAAGCGCAATTTTAACACACAGAAAGCAGAAGCAGAACGGGAGAAAGAAGAGGCCAAATCTTGTAAGTAATGGCAGGTACAAGTATGGCTGGGGTATTTTTGAGCCCAACAGAAAATATCATGTTTAATGGTAATGCGTTCAAGGCTTCTGGGCTATAATAAAAAGTTTAATCATTTCTGTACCTTTTATAATTAGTACTGAACCGCGTAAGAAATCAGTTCCAGAAGCATATTGACCAGCATAAGGAGCTCATGAAGGAAATCAATAAGTCAATAAAAGATTTTGAGACCAAAATTAATGATCTCCGGGATGCTCTAGATGAGGCTTCAGCACAAACCAAACAAGCAAATAACCTCAACAAAGACAACACAGTTATCCTGGATGATCTTAAGGTAACTAATGGCTAATAAGATATAGATATTGCAGTTGGTTTACAAAACCTTTTTTTGTTTTATTATTTGTATGTTTATGTAAATACAAGTAAATCATTTTGGGTGATTGTTGAAGAGGTAGATGTTTTCAGATGTGGGGAAAACAGTAATAGATCATGCTGTGCAAAGGTCAGATTAACATTACCACAATTAATTCATTGTAGTAAAAAATCAGTTTCTCTTAAATGTTTTATTATAGGTAATGCTAATGTAGACACTTTAGGAGCAATAAAAAACATTGACCCAGTGCTATGCCTACTCCTAGCACAGTGGCTATGTGGTTAGCACTTTCACCTAGCAGCAATAGGGTCACTGGTTTGAATCCCAACCACGGCACTACCTGTGTGGAGTTTGCATGTTCTTCCTGTGCCTGTGTGGGTTTCCTCTGGGTACTCTGGTTTCCCACACTCCGAAGACATGCTGGTTAATTGGCTCCTGTCTAAATTGGCCCTAGTATGTGTATCTATGAATGTGAGTTAGGGACCTTACATTGTAAGCTCCTTGAAGGCAGGGACTGATATGAAGATACAATACTGTATATGTAAAGCACTGAGTAAAATGACGGCAATATATAATTACCTATTATAAATAATAATGTCAAAGCTCAGGACGTTTAATGATTTCAACAATGATTTCCTTGTGTTGAATTTATTTCCTGGATATCCATTAGACATGAAATCACATAAATGCAACAATTAATAATAATAAGACTAATAACAGTAAATTATAGTTTAAGCTCACTATTTCTAATAAGTCCTTAGTCTGTTATTAAATCAGCAATGTTACACTTATTTTTCTTCAGCTTTTAAAGTGAAGCTTGTGATATTTGGTCCGATTTTATATTAGATACTTTGTTCATTTAAAGCCCAACTGTGACTATTATGATGCAAAAAGGTAATAAAACCAATAGCTGATACGATGACACCTAAATATATTATTCTTTCTTCATTTAAGAAAAGAGTTGCTGAATTAACCAAACAACAAAAAGAGGCAGCCGGTCATCTTAAAGGAGCAGAGACCAGCCTGGGGCAGACCAGTAGTATGTTAAGTTTGCTACAGAAGAGTAAAGAGGTAAGTTATATGTTTATGCAAATGTAATTATAGACACAGGGCTCAGTTCACAAAGCTTTACACAGGGATGAGGGGCTTTATTTTCAGCCCTGTGACGTATGCAAGTTCCTAAAGCATGCTAAAGTCACCTCCCCATCAATATCATGATAATGCTTGAAAGGTGGATCACTATGAGTATTCCACCAGCTTCATATTTTTATTGTGTTCGTTCATTCAGTAATTTCTTGTTTCTTTTTTCTTTTTACATTAAATAGGAATATGAGAGGCTTGCAGCACAGCTGGATGGTGCTAAGCAGGAGCTTAATGAAAAGGTGAACATTCTGTCCAAGGCAGCCAGTAAGGAACCTCTAGTGATTATGGCAGAAGACCATGCAAAGTCTCTGCAGAACTTGGCCAATCAGCTGTTGGAGTGAGTAATTATCTAAACATGTAGTACATCCATAGACATTAGATGACAATCCTTCATTGGAAACAACAACTCTGATTTTCTGAAAGACCTCAGCATGTATTTTTTGCAATGCATATTTTCACCGTGCAAGATAATGTTCACTTAGCTTAGTAAAAGTGGTGAAAAAACGTACCCAGCCACATGCAAGGAATTTTAATCATGCTTGACAGGATGATTGAATTCAGCACAGTTTCCACACATTCACTGTTAAGTGAAAATTCACTGTGCAAAGTAACCATGGGCAGTTGTTTCAGGAAATCATCCTTAGTATTTTCTAGGCTATGAATGGTACCCTCTGCAATGACACTAAACAGCTAAAAATGGGCCAAAGCTTTCTAGTGGACCTATATTCCAACAGTGGTGTTTAGGGAAAATATATATTTTTATATACAGTATATACAGTGAATGAAATAAGTATTTGATCCCCTGCTGATTTTGAATGTTTGCCCACTCACAAAGAAATGATCAGTCTAAAAATCGAATGGTAGGTGTATTGTAACACTGAGAGACAGAATAGACAAGAAATGCATGTCCAACAAATTATGCACTGATTTGCATGTTCATGAGGGAAATAAGTATTTGATCCCCTATCATTCATCATTATTTTTGGCTACCAGGTGTCTTTCACACAGGTAACAAGCTGAGATTAGATATGTATATATAAATTTTTACATCTGTGTGAAAATGGAAAGCATGAAATGCCAGAGTTGTGGATATAGAATAAATGAATAAAGACGTGCCCTAGTTTGGAATTAATTAACTTTTTTTGTGAATGCAGTTAGGAGGTAAGACTTTAAAGTATTACTAAACCCAGGACCCTGCATTCACTCTGTCTGGTCGCCCAGAGTACACAGAACATGGAAGTGCAATTATTTTAGTAAATACAAATGGCTAAATACCGTTTCTCATAAGCAGTTAGAGCAGTCTTGTTACTTCAGCTGAGCACTGGTTAAAGCTTGTAGGAGGAGTTTTTTTCTGCTCTAGGAGGATGCAAAACTCCTGACCTCTGTCTGGACAGTGCTGATTGGCCCCGTGCTGATCACATGCACTCTCCCAAGAAAAAAAAGCACCTCTCTAGCAATACACACTAAATTGAGCATGTGCAGAAGGACTACGGGTTCAGTCTGTCTTATCAGAGTGGACATTTGAACAAGAGGAGGGGCAGAGAAGTCAGGATCAAACAGCCCTTTTGCACAATGCAGAGGATTAACCCCTTAGGTTCCACAGTGAGTATAACAAGCATGCTTTACTGCCTATACAGACTGATTTTACTGTTGTGGGTTTAGTAACACTTTAATGTACTTCTGACAGTTTCAATGTTTAGTTAAAAAAGAACCCGCCAAACACCTTTTGCATTTAAACTGACCTCATAACATAACCACAATGCAATTTCATTGAACAAAAAAACCCGGTCTTGGAAAAATTCTCAGTATCTGTTGGGTTTCCAACTGTGGCACATGGGAAAGAATTTTAAAAAAATAGTAGCTGTATATGGCCACTTCTACCCCTCAACATGTCAAAGCATCTGTTAGGCACAGATATAGCATGCTTGCCACTGACGATCAATGCTGGAGGGCACAGCTAATAAATGATTTGGGTGCCTGGTTTATTGGATCAACTGATTTGCATAATATAAGTCCTCCCAGTTTTACCAACTAAGACACAGCTATTAATTGGCTATGTTTAGAGATCTAGAAAGATCTGCAACAGGTCACTGAAATGTATATTCATATACATGGGAGATTTTCCTTAAGGTTATGCCCATCTAAACAATATAATGTAGCGCAAACTCATGGAACAGAGCCTTCTTGCTGATTGGCTCCCAACCAATCCAATCTTGTGAAAATACAGCGGTTACTAGTGTAAGCACCATCTTCCCATTGCAGCTTTGACCATACACACTGGGAGTTTAGAAAAAGACTGCACAGTAAATACTCATGTGCTGCACATGTGAAAAACTTGGTAGATATAGCCGAGTGGGATTATAAAATGTTCTGCTTAGAGTCTGCTGGAGTCCACTTTTTGGCTGTAATATGGTTGCAACATTTCCCTGATTGTTAGTTGTTGCTTGGAGCTGATTTTTATTTAGGAATGGTCAAATGCGTCCACTCTTTAGAGGTACTTTACTAATCATTGTTCCACATCCTAATACAAACATCAAATAGGGTGTAGAATGTGAACGTTATAGCAGCAAATGCTGATTGATAGAAATGTTTACCATCAAATTTGACATATGTACGGTGTGAAAAATCTAATCGGTGCTTTGTATAATTATACAGAATCAGACGGAATACCAGTGAGGAGGAGCTGGTTCGCTGTGCTGTTGATGCTTCCAAAGCTTATGACGACATTATAAATGCTGTGAAAGCTGCTGAAGATGCTGCAAAGAAGGCAAAGTCAGCGGCTGATTCTGCTTTGGCGGTAAGTGGTTTGCATATTCAATTATGGATAATCTTTCCCAAACAAGTAAATTTTATAATTTTTGTATATGCCAACTCTAGTTATAATGGTATATAGCAGGGGAAATAAATATAAAGGAAAAGCTGGAAATTCTGTACAGAATATAATAGGAGCACACATCTAGCTAATAAAGTCAAACAACAGTCAAAGTTGGGCCATCTGACTTGGGCCCTGGAGTGGCTGCAGCATTTGCACTACACATCACGTTGACATTTTGGCACTGTAATTTGGCTCTGAAAATTTTCTGCATTGTTTTAAGTACCTTTTAAAGCACGGTGGCATTATTGATGTGCAAAGTATGGGTAATCATGATTTTTTTTTTTACCATGATAATTATTATAGGTTAGGGCTTAGGTTAAGTAGATATCCTGTAAGTTTCATATACAGTGGGAAAGGGCTGGACGGTATTGCTGCCTATGGGCCCGCTACAGAGGTTTCAGTGTAAGAATGTTGCCACCAAGATATGAAGTGAGTGAAAATCTGACACATGCAAAAAAAATTAGTTGCATGCAGGAATATCCAAACTTTGACTATAGTTATCTGAATCTCTATTGGAGATTTCCTCTCACTTCCTGTGATTGAATATCTTTCCAAAGGGGCCACAGATAGTAAAAATAAAAACCTGACAGCAGATCTAACTATTTTACACTCTATCCAAAACTCCTTTTAGGAGCAGGAGGCTGACATGCCATCATCAGGTTAAAAAATCAAGTGGCAGGTCCAGTGGTACTGAAGTTTCATCAATTATGGGCAGGATTTTCATCCTCACCTCACTACTCCTCTATGGACAGCAATTAGCAAATACCGATCTCGGTGTCTATAGTTGAATGTTAACTAGCAAAAAAGAGAATAAGGCTGCTTTCACACTGCTCCATTGAAAAAATGTGGTAAAAACGCATATGTGGTTTTGCAGCGTTCTTGACACATTTCCGATGCATTTTGCACCTGCAAAAATAGGACATGTGACTCCAAAAACGCACTAAAAATTAAACCGCAGGTACATTCTTTATGTGTTTATGCCACATTTTTTATGCGTTTTTCCTTTAGCCTTTATTTTTTTACCTCTTCAAACATGCACCCAAAATGTAGCATGCAGGACTTTTAAAAGCACAACTGACGTGCATCTGTCTATGAGCTCTATAGGATTTAATGGTCATACATTCTTCTTCCGCTTTCAGTAATGCAAAAATGGAAGAAAAACTGATCAATGTGAAAGGGCCCTTAGAGAATATTAGGAGCAGTAGCTCCTGAATATGACCACCAGGTGATGACAGGACATATTTTTAACATATATTCATTAACAAAATAATTATATGGTGCTAATGTATGATATGACATGGTTTATAATAATAAATATAATTTAGAATGTATTTTTTCATTTAAGAAAGTACAAAATGAAGATCTACCTGGGAAAGCCAAGAAATCTCTTACAGACTCTGAGGCACTATTGGAACAGGCAAAGAAAACACAAAAATCACTCAGAGGTATGGCTGGAACTGGTTAGCTTACAAGATGTGTTTTGATTCTACATGCAACAGAGGGTTAATCAGGTTTATGGCATTTTAGTGATTTGGTTATGACTAGCTGCCATAAACCTGTCAAACACTTTTTAGAACGCAAGATCTGAAACAGAAACTCTACAAAAAAAGTAATATTTAAAAGGTCAATGGATAATATCCAGAAAAAAAATGAAAACTGTCCAAAGTCAGAAAGTGCACTCACTTTTCCATTATTGAGTTTATAATATGTAATGCAACTAGTTGTAGCAGACTTTTCACAGGGCTTCCAAGTGGCATTGGTAGCCTCTTATGACATGACTCTGTGCCAGTGTTTCTCAACCTTTTTTCAGTCAAGGCACCCTTTAACATTCTGCACCCCATTTTAAAATGTAAAAAATATTTGAATAGTTTTACATAACGCAGCAACAACATCCACACATGTAGGACACCCAACGTTAGAGGTATTTTATTCTTCCAAAGCAAATACACTTTTGCACACTGGTACTGACTAGTATTTCAATGTTTTCCTTCTCCTTCAGTTTATCTCCCTCACTCAGCTAATGTGACCCCAGTGCTGATGGAGAGGGGCAAACAAGGATGCTGTGCAGGCACCCACCCAGTTGTCCTCCTTATCAACTAATGATGTAATTGGTTGTTAGGATACTGGCAACTGGCAGGTTGTAAAAGTGCACAATGAAACCGTATGGCTTTGTGTAACTAAAAGACAGGCTTGATCCACCTGCTGGCTTGTATACAATTTTTGGGCAGTTTTTAAGCATTTTGCCAAGGCACCCTGGAAAAAGCCTTAAGGCACCCCAGGGTGCCTGGGCACCCTGGTTGAGAAAGGCTGCTCTATGCTATGCAGTTTCTTTTTTCATGATCCTGAGTGTTGTTGAGCCTGCAGGTGGTTAAAAAGAGTGATTACTGGACCTACTGAATATATTCACAAGCTAAAATTGAGGGCCAATGTAGAGATGAGGATATCAGGATTTACAGGGATTTCCATGTATGGCACCTCAGCGGCTTCTAGTAGCCAGGCCATCTAAGCAGTTCACTTTGACCCATATACAGCAATGCACAAGGGACAACAGTGTTCTCCTGCAGGAATGAATCCCTTGGTTGTTGCCAATATATGTGTTTTTAGTGCTTATGTCAGACTCCACATGTCCTCATCCTCCAGAATATGGCCCTTAGACAGCTTTCAAGTTAGGGAAGTGACATTTATGCTTTCTATAAGAGAACTGATAGAACCTCTAAATACAAAGAGCCCAACACACTCCATACAGAAATGAGACCCAGTCAAAGGAGAATGATGTGGTGAAATGGCAGATGGTGCCACCAAAGCATATGTCTAATCCAAGATAACCCCAGCACACCATGCTTAGAAAAAAAGACATCACATATAGAACAGTACACAACTTACACACATAGCTTCTAAATAAAGTATACGGTTTTATTTCTAATAATTTTATTAACACAGTTTACAATATACAGTCACATACAAAATGTTACAAGTTATTTACTGGTTGAACCATGTCCTTGACTTCAGAGGCTTGGTCAATACATGCATATTTTTTTTTAAAGTCCAATGCCATGGCAGTAAGTAATAAGTGAAGGTCATCTCTCCTCACTATTTCCAGGCTGTTGTGCATTTGTGTTAACAAATAACTTACTGAACTGAAGCCTTTCCCTCAAATAAAATGTGGGAAAATGCCATAAAAATAGTTTTCCCTTCTCCCAAAGCTACAGAAACCTTTTGGAAATTGCACTGTTTACCCAAAAATAATTTTTGTCTCATTTAAAACTTGCCTGGGCTTCTATATCACTCTACAGTTCAATAAACAATTTATGCAATCTACCATTACTGTCAGTGACATTCACTACAATTGGATCAACAAAACAATATTTGCAGTATAATACACTTTGCTTTTCTGTGGCTTCTTTGGTGTGGTCATGGCCTCCCGGGGACATGTTTTTCAACTGTGGCCATTTGAAATATAGGGCCTAGGGCCTTAGGGGAGGATGTGGCTCTTGCCTGAGATTTAAAATAAAAGTTTGAAAATGAATAATTTCCAAAAATTTGAGAAAAATCATATTCACCTAGTAAAAAACACACACCACCATAGCAGATCGATGCAGCAGCTGTCCCCTGCCGCCTTTGCACCAAGCAAACTGAAGGAACAAACACAGCTGATTGCTCAGTTCCTAGATACTTTTTTGCGAACCTGTGTGTTTGTGTGACTCTAAGTCTCCAGCTTTGCGCTCTGCCCCCCTCCAACGGTCATTACAGCGCCTGACTGTGGAAGCTTTGGGAGCTGCTGGCTCAGGCTCTCAGTGGCACACAGCTGCCGGTCAGTCATCAGAGTGGATCCTGACATTATTGTCAGCATCCCTGCAGAGCCTGAAGTGGATCTGTGATGACAGAGTTGACAGCAGACTTTAGCCCACTGTCGGCTGAATCTCTGTCACAGGAGTGCAGAACTAAGTGCACTCCTGTGACCCACAGGAGAAGTATGACCAAAAGAGGATTGGCCATACTTCTCCTTTAAGATCTCACTCAGCCAGTTAAAATTTGTGATGCTCATTTTACCAATAAAATATCTGTCCATTTGAAAATACACAAGCAACCAGAAGAAAAAAATAACATAACAAATTCATAGGCCATCATTGCACTGATAATTATGTTCATGAAAAAACAATAGCGAAAATATAACAAATATGATACTACAAATGTACTGCAAAAAGACCCAATGACCTTTCTTACATCAGGCCATATGCCTTTTCCTTGCAGACCATAGAATCTTAACCTGAGAGCTAATATAAATGTCCTTTACCCTTTATATAATTATGCCTAGATGTAAACCCAGAGCTTGAAGACCTAAAGGACAAACTGACAGAGGCCACAGATAAGAAGAAGACATTGTCGGATGACCTCACAGCTGTCCAAAATAGCATCAATGCCATCAAAAGAGGTAGGCAACGTTTAAGTATATTTATAGGAATTCTACTTGTACCCCACAAACAGCCAGATTCAATACTGTTAGTTTTTTTTTTATTGTAATAGTAGAGCCTATGGTTCTACGATTAGCCCCAGTGCGGGGCAGAAATGTATTAGAGGGACGGCGCGGGTGGAGTGTCTCTGTCATTGCTGGAAGAATAAGGTTTTCTAACCAAAGAATCAGTGGTATGCAGCTTCACAAGTTTTGCAAACAGTGAAATGGCAGACCCCAGAGGTTGCCAACACAGCACCTATGGCTGGTGGGAGAGAGGCACAGGACATTAGAGTGTTTCCTTGGATATGTGAGTAGTCACAGCTGATTGATTGGTTGGCTCTTCCTGAATTCTACTTTTTGTCAACTCCTACCAGACCAGCACTGTGACTTTGGTACTAACAGCCGATGGGAGGCGGTAGCAGCTGATACAAATAAGGCCTTATGCACACAGGACTTAGAAAAATGCTTCTTTTACAGACATTTGGCGTTGTTAAAGAACCTCTATGTGTCCATGCTGTTTACAGTCTTATTATTAGAAGAGGAGTGTTTATTGAACCTATTGGTGATTTTTTTTTTTAGCCTGTAGAGGTGCTTATGAGCTGAAAAAAATGCTTAACACTTGTAGATGTGTCTAAGCCCATCTAGACGCATTTAAAGCTAGACACGTTTAGCAATTGAGCATTCAGTCATTCCATTTCCAGAATAAATTAATATTCTCTGGCAATATAATCCATTAATGCTCAAACGCTTGAGGCGCGTAAACCTGTGTGCAATACACAGCTTTAGGCATGTATTTTTAAACAGCTTTTTCCTGCTAGGAGTAAAAGGCCTTCAAAGGAGAAAATCAAACGTTCAGTGTGTTTAAGGCCTTAGAATGATGCAACTTGTCTTCACACTTTTGTATACAGCAAGAGTATGTAAGATAGCTTAGCCGTATAGCATGATTTACTCGTATTTCAGCAAAATATATATAAAAGATAGCATAGTGAATATTTAATTAAATAAATAATAACCGAATCTAGTGAATTTCTTAAAATCAGGACTGGAGTTGCAAAAAATAAATGATGTCTCGGGATAAGGTACTAAATACTAATAACCTGTTACTACATTTCAGATGATATTGAGAGAATGATCAACAATGCCAAAAACGTAGTTACAAATGCAAATACAATTACTGATGGTGTTAAGAAAGACTTAAAACCCATTGAAGAAGATGTAAACAATCTTAAAGGCACAATTGGAGCTGGACAAAATGAGATGTTCAATGAAATACTAAAAGAGGCGAGTGAATCTGGTAAGTAAACACTGAGTTTAAAGTCCAAAGTTGGTATTTGACGGCCATTTCTTCAACCATATTGTCTATCAGCCTGTGACTGTATGTATTTTAATGAATTTAAGTACATATTGCTGAGTTATCACACATAACATTTACTGAGCAATGGGGTCAATAGATTTGCGTGGAAAACCTGATAAAAAGGGAAAGAAAAATGGTCTGGGCTTTTGCATAAAATTATAGACCTCTTTTGCAATACCAGTTTATAATCTGGACTATTTACAGACTTCTGTTTTAGCTACATTTAGTCTCATGTTCTTGATGACTATTATTCTGGAACTTACTAGTTCATTTCTTTTACCCAAAAAACATACTGAAATTGAAAACGATAAGGAAAAATTGCCCCAAACAGTGGAACGATATTATTTTTGATTCTACACAACTTGCCCTTATAGTATGTCAAAATGTAAAACCATGTAGTAGATCAGTTTATCAAAATTCCTCCTTTGTACATACATGAAGACAGCCTTCAGGTTAGTCTCTTTGAGCAGAGATGGCAGTGGCTGATACATAGAATTTTTTTTCAACCCATCTATGTGAAGGCTAAAATGTTAAACTTTTGCTTCCATACAAAAAGAACTGAAGGTACCCCAAGCCATTTTTTTCTGCTATTTAAAACTGTCTTCTGTACTGCAGGTCTGCTTCCATTCACCTCCCCTGAAGAAACAACATTTTACTATATAGCAAATGAGATCTGTTTGTTCCAGTGCACAAAGAGACTAATTTCTTATATATAGTGTATATGCTATATATATAAACTTAACGGCCACTTTACTAGGTACACCTTGCTAGTACTGGGTTGGACCCCCTTTTGCCTTCAGAACTGCCTTAATTCGGCAAGGTGTCAAGAAGGTGTTGGAAACATTCCTCAAGAGATTGTGGTCCATATTGACACAATAGCATCACGCAGTTGCTGCAGATCTGTCGGCTGCAAATCCATGGTGTGAATCTCCTATTCCACCACATCCCAAAGGTGCTCTATTGGATTGAGATCTGGTGACTGTGGAGGCCATTGGAGTACAGTGAACTCATTATCATGTTCAAGAAACCAGTTTGAGGTGATTTGAGCTTTGTGACATTATCCTGCTGGAAGTAGTCATCACTGGCACCCAGTGTGGTCTTCTGCTGCTGTAGCCTATCTGCCTCAAGGGTTGACATGTTGTGCATTCAGAGATGGTATTCTGCATACCTTGGTTGTAACGAGTGGTTATTTGAGTTACTGTTGCCTTTCTTATCATCTTGAACCAGTCTGCCCATTCTCCTCTGACCTCAGACATTAACAAGGCATTTTTGTCCTCACAACTGCTGCTCACTGAATATTTTCTCTTTTTTGGGTAATTCTCTGTAAACCCTAGAGAGGGGTGTGTTTGAAAATCCCAGTAGATCAGCAGTTTTTTTAAATACTCAGACCAGCCTGTCTGGCACTATCAACCATGCCACGTTCAAAGTCACTTAAATTACCTTTCTTCCCCATTCTGATGCTCGGTTTGAATTTCAGCAAGTCATTTTCACCATGTCTAGATGCCTAAATGCATTGAGTTGCAGCCATATAATTGGCTAATAATCAATTTGTGATACCAAGCAATTGAACAGGTGTACCTAATAAAGTGGCCGTTGTAGCTAAAAAAAAGATTAAAGATGCTTGGATTTTAGATCTCGGTCCCATTTCTGATAAACACTGGTTCAACTCTTACTATGTTCTTGAATTATTATTATTATTATACAGTATTTATATAGCGCCAAAGGGTTTGCTCAGCGCTGTACAATAGCGAGGGGGACAGAACATGAGACAATACAGTAACAATACAATACATGAGGGGTTCGAGGGCCCTGCTCTTTCGAGCTTACAATCTAGGAGTGAAACATAATAAAAAATCATAACAAAATCAGGCTCACTTCTGCATAGAAACCAATCAGCTTCTAACCTCAGCTCGTTCCATTAAGCTTTGGCAATAAAACCTGGAAGATGATTGGTTTCTATGCAGAAGTGAGCCTGATTTTGCATACTCCAGCTTTAGTAAATAAACCCCATAGTGCAGTGGAATAAGTCACCTGATGGCTTCAATAATTTAGGGATACATTGAAGAAATTTCTGTTCCAGCTAATTCCCAGCTAATCTAACTGTGAAATCTAATCGAACACTGTGAAATATCAGTTTTGGGTGTACTGACCAGTTAACAAGAGTGGGCTAGATGATTTTATAACTATGTTCAAAGGGGTTGCATGGAGAAGTTTTCCTTTAGAGCCAGTGCAGTAGAGATTCAAAAGAGATGTAGGATTTCCATTTAAAGTGTAACTCGCCTGTCAATACAGTTCTTTGTGTGTATTTCAAATTATTGCTGAATTGATAAATACTCGGTTGTCACTAAATGTCCTTTTACATAACAGTGAATCAACTAAGTGGAAGCCTGCCTGGTGTCTTTGAGACTATGGGTCGCATCAATAATCTGATGCCGTTAGGAAATATATCTGAGAGCGTCAGTCGTATCAGGGAGTTGATTCAGCAAGCCCGAGATGCTGCAAATAAGGTGAGTTCCATGCTCTAATATGCAGCATTGCATACACTGTTCAGTTGCATAGAGGCATCAGTGTATAATATCAGCATACAATACACATGTGATCATTTCTACATGTAATGTAGAACATTTACTAACATTTACTATAATTGTTGTTGTTTTTATTATTATATTTAACAACTTAGTATTTATTACCATTTCTAAGAAAGGCTTCGGAAAAAATCACTAAAGGGCTGTCAAACCTTTGCGGTGTGCTGTGGTGCGTTGCTGCATGCACGTTAATATATCTTATGCTTTGCATTAAGGCATCTCATTTATACTGAATGGGTTGACAATGCACCCCATCTCACCAAAAGCCAGACCTTATCCTTTTCTCCTGATGCAGCAAACCACAAAACATGGCCGTGAGGTACTATATACAGTATATTGTGATGCGCTGCAATTCAGGCCCTTTGCTTAGTGGATTGAGATGCTATTTAAATTGAATGCCTCCTCAGCACACCATTGCCTGTATGCTGTGGTACCATGCATTGCAGTAGAACATATGTTACTTCAGTGGAATGGTGTGAAGCCAATCTAAATGAATACAAGTAAAAAATGCATATTTTATTTAAACAGTGTTCATTTCAATGTAAGATGTTACACTTGATGTTGTGTCTAAACTGCAGTTTTTCGTAGATCCCGCTATATTCATAGGTGATGTTTATTCATATGTTCCTCTTAGGTGGTAGTACCAATGAGGTTTGATGGAAGTTCTGGAGTAGAGGTGCGGCCTCCCAGTAACTTGGAAGATTTGAAAGCCTATACATCTCTGTCATTCTTTCTTCAAAGGCCACAAAATCGAGGAGACCGTCGCAAACGTCAGTTGCCTCCAAACATGTTTGTCATGTATCTGGGCAACAAAGACGTAAGTAGCAATTTAAAATCAAGGCAAAAAATATAACAAATATAATTTATGTTATTAATAAAACGCATAATGAAGCAAGCGAATACCCTTGAAGTTAATTTATTAAAGGAATATAAGCTATTCACTTAGCAAAGTGGATTTTCACTTAGTTTAACAAATGAGGTGAAGCTGTGTTTCAACCAGGGGCGGACTGACCATTTGGAAATTCGGGCACTGCCCGAGGGTCCGGGGTCAGTAGGGGGCCCCATGAGATGCCCCTGGTACCTTTTTCATAGGCTTTTTTGAGTTTGGGCAAGCACACAGGGGCCCCATGATCCCCTATTGCCCGGGGGCCCCATGAGTTGTCAGTCCGCCCCTGGTTTCAACTTTCCTTGCAAATGTTTGGGTATAGTTTGCAAAGTGAATTTTCATATAGCTTCATCTCATTCACCAAGCTAGGTGTAAATTCACATTTCAAAACGAACATGCTCTATTCCTTTAGCAAATCAACCACAATGTCTTCTTCCAAAGCCCAAAGAATACTTTGTTTTTGGATTGTTGTGTGTAGTATAGATAATTAGTCTGTGTATTTTCTGTCCAGGCTACAAAGGATTACATAGGACTTGCTATAGAAGATGATAAACTCAAGTGTATGTACAAACTGGGAAATGATGTGGCAGAAGTCAATGTGGAGACATTTGTATCAGTCAATAAACCTGATGAAGCCATAATGGACAGAGTTGTCTTAGAAAGGTAATAAACGTACATGTTTACATAAATATTAGTTTTAAATCCTTTTGATTCAGTTTTCTTTTATTTCATACCTGTTTCCATTTTTAGAAATGCAATGTGTCCAGTTAAAAAAATTAAAAATCCATGACACCTAAAAAGCAAACTTTTCATGTAGCCATTTTGCTTCACTTTTAAAGTGGTATTAAAGCTTTGGGTTTTTTTTTTTAAATAACAAACATGTTATACTTACCTGCTCTATGCAATGGTATTGCACAGGGTAGCCCCTATCTTCCTCTTTTTGGATCCCCCACTGGTGCTCCTGGCTCCTCCTCTTCAGCAAGTGGCTTTTGTTTTTTGTTTTTTAAATTAATTATCACCATAGAAAGCCACTATTGAGACAGACAGGGCGACTCAGCCCTACCCCCCACTCCCCCATCACAGAATTTGATTCACAGCAGTGGGAGCCAATGTCTCCCACTGCTATCTATCTGCCCAGTAAGAAGGAAGAGAACAAAGAGAGACACTGTACTCTTGCACATCGCTGGGTTGAGATAGGGGGATCTTTTTTCAACCTTTGTAACCATTTTAAGCATACCAATTCTTAGATGTGATGGCTACATTTTGTTTTCTTTTGTAGGCTTTCTTTTTTTTTTTCTTTTATTTTCACCTGGTGATCTATCCAGTAAGTCCAACAAAACCAAGCAGATGTAGCAGTTAGTGCTTAGACAAACCTTTTACCATTGACTATGATGCTTCCAATGATCAGTTTTTAATTATTTATGTGAAACATAACTAGTACTACTTACGTAAAGAATAAACCATTCATCACAAGCTGATGGCAGCTTGTGATGTGTCTTTTCAGTCACCTTCCAGCTTAAAAGTGAAAGTGATGTGGAGGCTCTATAGCCACCGGTCACCTTCACAGAGAAGTCAGCGTACCAGAGCAGAATTATCCCAGGAAAAAATCGTAAAAGTAGTATATGTTCAACAACTTGTGATGTATGGTTGCCTCTCCTCTCCACATGCAGGCCTATTAATAAACAGCAATAATTAATTAAACAGCAGTAATATGTAGGAGTCATTTTTTATACATCTATTACTAATATGGCTGCACAAACTGAATTATAATTGGATGCTGTGGGTCAGTGACCTTCTAACATTAGCATTTGCCTTTTTGCCATCTTACTAAAAGGGTTTAGCAACTCCACCAAGTTTAAAAGTAGCATTTTTCACCTACCTCTGTATGCATCTGTCGATACCTGTTGTAATACAAATTTAGGTTCCTAAATGTAAGAGGAGGTTGTTGAATAGTTAAAATTCCAATTATGTACAACCAAAAATATATTAAAAATAACATATACTAAAAAAACAGATGTTAGAGGTCGACCTTCCTGTAATTACTGAAGCAAAGCATGCAAGAGCGCTATCAGAAAACACAAAATTGGTTCTTTTACCATAACATGGCTCTAACGAGCTGATGGCTGATGTTAGGGCATTGTCAGAGACATGTAGTTGGTTATTTGAAATGATCAGATACAAAAATAAATATGTGAACAATAGAAAACACCGCTAATCTTCAAATACTTCAATTTTGGAAACAGACGTGGGTTCACACTTTTGCCTATATTTTGCATATATATATATATATATTTATATATATATATATATATATATATATATACCATACAATATTTTTCTAACAGTCTTAGTGAATTATAATATAAGCTTTATATTTTTTTCAGGATCTACCAATATGTTACATTAAATTATACAAAGGCATTCACATCAAATAAACCAGACCCTATTATGAGCTACACTACCGATGTGCAGCAAGGCACTCTGCTCAACCTCAATGAAAATGATGTTGTCTTTTATGTTGGAGGATACCCAGATGACTTCACGGTAAGCCTGCATGGGTAGTATGGTTATTTACTTCCCTGCAGATAGTTCAGGAGCTGGTGAATAAGATTGTATCTAATATTAGATTTATGTATAGAGGCAGATAATGGGAGGACCAGTGCCACCACATCCCATAATTAAAGAGATAACTTAGAAAAATAGAGAGACTGAACTGTTTGAGGTGGGGGATTGGAAACCAACACCACATCACCACCCTGTGGACGGAGGTGCAGACTGCACCCAATAGCAACAGAATTCAGCTAAAAAGTACCACATTCATTATAATCCTGAGATCTCCCACCACTACCATCTTAATAACAGTGCCACCTATGTCAAGAATAGCGATCCCATCCATCTATCCAACCACCCCCCCCCCCCCACACCCACACCACACACACACACACACACACAATGCCCATCGTGCCCTGTTTGTTCTTATGGACAGCAAAGGTCACCAATATACTGTATATTAGTGTGTTGTTAATAGTCTTAAAAGTCTCTCTATTTTTCTAGTTTTATCTAATATGAGATTTAAGCAGGTCGTACATTAAGCACTTTTCTTTCCTGTAGCCATGGTTTGAAGGAAAGAAAATTGCTTAATTCCCCCATCAACATATTGAGTGTTGATAGAGGAATTCATCTCACAGCTTTTGTACTCTGACAGCGGGAGGTTTCCCAGCCCTCAGAATACAATGATCACTGCCGGCTGATCGAAGAAAAAAACAGGCAGTTTGTAATGAAGCTGATCAATGGATTGACTTCAGTACAACCAGCCTGCACATATATTGATCCAAATTCTTCCAGTTCCTGCTGAATTTCAATTCATTTATGGCTAGCTTTAGTGTATTTACCTTCTGATAATATAAAACATGCTCCGATCATTTTCCCAGGCATTTGTAGTAGGGAATCCTTCTGCATGTCTTCCATGTCCATTCATGTTGTTAAAAGACATGTTGTATGGAAACTACTTGTACCATCCATTATTACTTAGTTGTTGGCACACTAAAATGCACATTCTTGTGCTACACTCCATTAGTGTTGTCCTGTGCACTAAAATGCCCAGGCAGCAAGGGTTTGCAGGTTCACACTTAACTTTTATTCCATAATTCACTGAGACTAGTGGGCCACCTTTTCACCCTCTTTTCCCCATAAAATACAATTCAGTTTTCAGCATTGCTGGTGGAACACCTTTAATAATCAGTTCAGTGATCCTAGAGGGCCAAAGGCCTTCTGCTACAATATCTATGAAGTGTAACTAAATGTACCAGTGAATGATATGATCAGACATGGCCCCACTGTGAAGCGTCAGTCCCCCATGATATCTTTATGGTACTGTATATTTAACTGATGTGATTGCGCACACCAAGATGATAATGGGACAAGTGATGTTTTGCTTTCCAACATTAGTCTGTTTAACAACAAATGACATGTATGAGCACAGTTGAAGGCCTTGAAGGTTATTTATTGCATCATTGAGCAGATGAGAATTTTATCTGATTAATGATTCAATAAATCATCGAGTTCATGTCCTTGTAACAACTCTTTGTATATTTTTGATATATAAAATCTTGACAATGGCTTGGACAATCTGTTCGAATCTTATATTATGTTTGTCTTTGAAGTTATTCCTCATGTTTAACTGCAATAAAGTCAAACTGTGGTGTAAAGTGATAATTAAAAAAATAATATACGTGTTAGCTGGCAATCACTGAGCAAAAGGTAACAGAATGTACTTTCCTGTAGATTTAAGAGTTTCATTAGACATGGGAGATGATAGTTACACATGAGCTAATGTTTTGACTCTTGAACAGCCCTTTACAGCCCAGTACTTCTTTTATTAATCTATGGGATGAAATGCATCAAAGAAATATATCATAACCTACAGTATATTTTTTTAATGTTTTCATATATGAAATAATAAGTGTGCAATTTTTTAAGCCGCCACGAGGATTGGACTATCAAAGATACAGAGGATGCATTGAACTAGATGACCTAAACCAAAAAGGAATCAGCTTGTACAATTTCCGAAAGACATTTAACCTCGACACTAAAAAAGTGGAACCTTGCAAAAGGTACTGCTATGATGTAAATGTACGACACTGTATGTGTTTAGTAGATACCTGTATTAAATTTCATGACAGTCTCTAATAAGAGGTGATATTTTCCAGTAATTCGTTTTTAGTAATTGCTGGAGTTTTAAATTGCTCAACAGCCTTAAAGTTTCTTTGTGAGTCTGATAAGAGAGCTATGAGATAGACTTCTTAGCTGTATTCTCCATAGCATAAAATGAACGAAAAATCCAAGAGGTAGATTATGATCCTACTGAAAGTTTGCCATAGGTGGATGGAACTAGGGACACAGAGACCTTAATACCAGGGATACTGAGGGATATAGTAAAGCAGTTTGTGATTCAAACTGCCAATAATCCCACTTCATAACTACGCATGTGCCTGTATAAGCAAGTAGATGGGAAAAATGCATTGTGACTTCCATGGGAATTTAGGTTGTAGTTAAGATCAGTATTAGATGCTTCTAAGAACCTTCTGAGTTTCTTCAGAGGAGCTTTTGACCTAGTCATGGCCTGCATCTTACCTTCTTCAAAGTTAATTTAAGCTGATTTTGCATTCCCATTGACTTGTATAAATAGTTCTCACATGAGAAATGCAGATGTACACAGTCCTAATTCTGTTTTTTTAAGAGTGTTTTGAAGATTTTAGGTATAATTTAGTGTACATTTGTGTGTTTTATTGTATTTGCAGTTTTGTGCAAAAACAGTTTCATACATGAAAAAATGGAGAACACACTTTAAAGGATAAGTTCACCTTTTAGACAAAAATAATAAATGCACATTATTTTGCAGTTAAAAAAAATGTGCATTTATTATTTTTGTCTACAGGAGCCTGGAAAGCATTGCACCAGCGACTAGTAGATCGCTGGTGCAATGCAGGTCTTCTGCAGATCTGTCAGAATATCTGCTTGCTGTACGGGATGTATGAGCAAGCAGATATTCTGACAGAAAGCTTCAATGTACTTTCATTGAAAACTACAAGTTGTCAGCTGTTGGGACTTGCAGTTCATTCATTCACGGAAGTCCCCGCAGGGCCATGCTGTTTTCAAATTTGACAGTACGGGGAGACTTCTCCCTGTACTATCTATCAGAGGGAGGGGGGTGCAGCAAGCGGCGGTTGTGGCTATGGGAACATGTTACATGTTTCACCCTAAAAACGGGTGAAACATGTAACATGTTTTCAAAGGTGAACTTATCCTTTAAATGACAATAACATATTAAGGGCCAGGGTTGATGGGCTTTTGCTTGCCTAAGAATGGCTTCTCTCCCCATACAATTCAAAGTAAATGCAGAAGAGGCTTGAAGCAGGTTGAGACAGCTTAGAGGGAGGTCAAAGGTATGTCTGAAAGAGGTCAGCTGCAGATCAGATGCACAGCGTGAACTCTGTCAATGAACTGGTACGCTAGGTTCATATCTGTGTGGGTGGTGCTGCTGTGGATCCGTACGAAAGTCCGTGCAGCCGCACCACCCGCACAGAGAAATGCGGACCCGCGGGCGGGTGCCATTAGTTCTAATGGCACGCCGCCCGCACTGGAAAATGCAACCATACTGGGAACCGCGGGTTCCCATGCGGGCTACGTTTTCAAACGTGCAGGGACTTCTTCCCTGCATGTCACGGGCACGGGAGTCCATTCAAATGAATGGGCTCTCATGCCCGTGAAAAATGGTGCCTGAACGGCCGCATATATGTGAACGGATCACAGAAGCATGCAAATGGCATGCACTTAAATACAAGCTAATTTGCTCATTGACACAACCCTGAAGGAGCTAAAAGTGTTTTAAAATGCTTGCTGAAAATTCATATAAAACCTGTTTGTTTAGGATGACATGTGAATGCTGTTTTATCAATTGACTGAAACCCCAAAACAGCTAGGACTAAGCACAAATATGTTATAACCAATACAAGTCCCCATGTCTTTAACTGATAAGCAAAATTAGAACTGCTCTAATGTGACCCTCAAGCACATGTCTACCTCTGGTCAAATTTACAGCAGCAGCATTGTCATAATAGAATATGTTTTAAACCGTGAAACCATTTAAAATCCCATATTGCACAGAAATAGACTTTAGTACGGCATGCTAATTGTACAGCAATTAGTTTACCCAGCGCTTTGTGTGTGCAGCCCTTGGTTATCCATGTCAGTGGGTGCCCAGTGAACCAGCTCTTTGGTTACTGCTCATTATAAATAAGGAGCAGACATCTCTTGCATATTTGTTTGCTGCTCCTCATTAACACTATTTCTTTTATTGCCTTAGATACAAGGAAGAATCAGAAAGAAGTTTCTTTGAAGGTATTGGATATGCCACCATAACATATACTTTGCCAACTGGGGATAACCTGCGGTTACGTTATGAGCAGACTATCCAGACCACAGCAGATAATGGCTTATTATTCTTTGCAGAAAAAGAGGTATTTTTTTACATATATACGTGGTTTTTCTTTCAGTGAAAATAGCTCTTCAAATGACAGTAAAAACAGCAGTTTGCTGAAGTTGGAACAGTAAGGGCTATGTAAAACTAGTGATTCTGTCGCTGGCTAAAAAAGGCCCGGGACAGAATCTGTAAAAGTCTACTTACCTTGTCCCACTGCCGTACTGGTAAAATGTCACTGCTAGAAACCTTCAATAATTCTGCAGTGTTCTTGCCAGGCAGAGAGAGCAACTATTAAAGTGATACTAAAAATAAAAACATTTTTTTAACTTAATGCATTCCTTGTATTAAGTTAAAAATACATTTTTATTTCTCCTTGCTCCCCCATCCCTGTGTGAATGTGAAGGGGAGAATAGATCCAGCGCTGTGCATGGCTGATTTCTTCTCTTCTCCCCTCTCTTCCTCTTAACACAGGAACTCAAACAGCAGCAGGAGCCAATGCTCCAATGCTGTCAATCAAATGCAGTGAGGGGGAAGTATATGTCTATAAAGTGTGTATGTCTATGGAGTGCGGCTCCATAGACACACAGCTCGGGAGCGAGCAGAACCCGTGTGCCCCCATAACAAATGGCTGCTATGGGAACACACTAAGGAGAGGGGGAGCCAAGATTGCTGGCAGGGAACTGGAGAAGAGATTCGGGGTCTCTCTGTGCAATAATGTTGCACAGAACAGGTGCGTATAACACGTTTGTTATTTTTATTCTTAAAAAAATAGACTTTAGTAACACTTTAAGTGAAGTTGATTTGTACTTTCGTCATTCTGTAGCTCTCCAGAATTGACAATTTTTCTGGAGTAAGTGCTGCTGCTGTCTGATTAATTATTATGCATTATGGCTTTGATATTTCTAATAGATGTGCTTTTTGGTTCCAAAAGAAATTCATGCATGCCCTAAATGCCCTCCACTGATAATGCTGTCATTTTTCTATTTCAGGACAATTACATCAGTGTTGAAATTGAAGATGGCATTCTTGTCCTCAAATATAAGCTAAATTCAGACCCAGTGAAACAAATTAAGAGTACTTTTGGACGTGTAAATGATGGAAAGGAGCATTTGGTAAGTATTAAATAGTGCTTTTTAATTTGTATGACATAGTAGCTAATAATGGTAAAGAATTTGTATTATAGTTTGTATGTGTGCTTACTACACAGTTCATTACAGTCTTATCAGTCTATCTATCTATCTATCTATCTAGCTATCTATCTATCTATCTATCTATCTATCTATCTATCTATCTATCTATCTATCTATCTATCTATCTATCTATCTATCTATATCTCATCATATATTTATTGGATAGGTATGCGTATATTAAAAAAAAGTGGCAGTTATTTTCATTCTATTGAGATTTAGAGTTACATGGTGCAGGGCTGTATCGTTGTAATAAAGCTTTGTGAATTAAGCTCTTTTCTATTCTACCTCCCCACAATTCAGTTTTCAGTGCCCAGGTGCTGAAAAGTGGGGGGCTCCATTGGTTGTATGAGATTCCCCTTTCTCAGAATATCAGAACGTAGACTTTGCTCTGCTCTGGCAGTGGATCACAGTGAGGGTAAAGTGTTCAGAAAGTGTTCGGGCAGCACAGTGGCTTAGCGGTTAGCACTTCCGCCTGGCAGTACTAGGGTTGTTGGTTCGAATCCCAGCCATGGCACCACCTGCTTGGAGTTTGCATGTTCCCCCTGTGCCTGAGTGGGTTTCCTCTGGGTACTCTTGTTTCCTCCCACACTCCAAAGACATGCTGGTAGGTTAATTGGATCCTGTCTAAATTGTCCATAGTATGTGTATGTATGAATGTGAGTTAGGGACCTTAGATTGCACACCCCTTGAGGGTTAGGGACTGATGTGAATGTACAATATACATATGTAAAGCACTGTGTAAATTGATGGCACTATATATGTACCTGAAATAAATAAATAAAAGTAAATACAATCTGCTAACACTGCCTACTATAAGGTGAGCCTGTTAACTTGATGAGCATGTGCAAAGTATGTATTCACTTTAAATGTGACCAAATATGATTTGTTGCGTGACATAAATACTGATACACTGACTAGATGAAAAAAAATGATATATTTTGTAAATCCTTCCTTTTGTGTTTTACCTTCCACAGACTGAGGTGTATATTATACCAAAGACTAAATTGCTACGTGTACGTCAAGGTCTGCAAAGCATAAACGATACAGGTGTTGATGTATTTACCTTTTCTACTTACTATTTGGGTGGAGCCCCATCATCACTTATGAAAAAGTGAGTAAATACTGCCCAGTCATGCTGTTCTTTTGTTGTAAGAGTTATGTTGCATGCATTTGAAAACAAAAACCTACACACAGGCTGTAAATTATTAGTATTTCTACATAAATTGATCTTTTAATTTCCATCTAAACAGGTTTGACATAAATACTCCTCCTTTCCGTGGATGTGTTAAAAATGTTAAGTCCCCACAGAGTGGAACCACATTTTCAGAAACATACGGAGTCAACAGAAGATGCTATGATGAGTGGAATGTAAGTAGATGCTGTTACAGGTGCCACATGCTGCAGGATTCAGGTTTTCATGCTATCAACATAAACACCTTACTGATCACAATGTTATTTCTCATGCATGAACAAGGTTTTGAGTCACTTTTCTAGCCTTAGAGCATCTCTTGTGGCTTTTTGTTTAAAGCCTGAATTTAGCTAAAATGACAAACATAGAAATAATGACAAGCAGGGGCGCACTGACCATACGGGCACTGCCCGAGGGCCGGGCCAGTAGGGGCTCTGTCACTGCCCCTCTACTTGTTGCAGAGCACTAGTCATACAGTGATCTCTCTACATGGTGCTCTCCTCAGCAGCTTCCTGTCAGTCCCCATAGACCAGTGACGTGAAGGTCCCCACACACAGATCCCCTAACCTGAGGACAGAATGGAGACAGCCGAGAGCAGACAACACAGAGAGCCCTATGTTCAGCCACAGAACTGGGAACACCCTCTCCGGGAAAGCCGTCCATGGCAAGCCCTGCTCCTCCTCTGCAGCCCGGCCACCAGGATCACTCACTTGTGCTGTGTCCCCGGCTGGGATGATTCGGTGGTGATTCTGTGTGTAGATGGAGAATACTCTTCTCTTCTGAGTGCAAGTCAAGAGCATATAAGAATATTGGATCATGATACAGTGCACACTGCTGTGAAAGGGGCTATGGAGGCGGCAGATTTAACACTGCCTGAGACTAGGTGGGGTCATAGTTGTGAGTAGCAGACATACTGAACACCCCCCTCCCCCCTTCTCTCTCACCTCTGTCCCTCTCTTTCACCCTACCACAGCCCTCCTCTCTCTCTTACCCTCTCTCTCTCCATCCTCTCTCACCCCCCCCCCACTCTATCTTTCACCCCCTCTCTCACCCTGTTCTCTCTTTCTGTTACTCCCCTCTCTCTCTCTTACCCCCTCTCTTTCTCACCCCCTCCATTTCACCACTCCCCCCTCCCCTCTCCCTCACACACCCCTCTCTCACCGCCTCTCCCTCTCTCTTTTACCCTTTCCTCTCTCTTTCACCTCCCCTCTCTCACATTCCCCCTCTCTCCCCCCTTACCCCCACCATTCCTCTCTCTCTCTCACCCCTTCTCTCTCTGACTCACCCCCTCTCTCTCTCCCCCCCCTCTCTCTCTCTCTCATCCTCCCCTCTCTCTCACCCCCTCTCTCTTTCACCCCCTCTCTCTCTCCTGCCCCCCTCTCCTTCTCACCTTCTTTCCCCCCCCCCCCCCCTCTAGCACCTCCCTCTCTCTGCCCCCTCTTTCTCTCCCCCTTCTCCCCTTGTTCCCCCCTCTCTCTTGCTCCTTCTCTCTTCTGCTCTGCCCCTCCCCTCTCTCTCTCTCTCTCTCTCTCTCTCACCCCTTCACCCCTATCTCTTTCTCTCATTCTCACCCACACCATTCTTCTCTCTCTTGCCCCCTCTCTCTCTCCCACTTCCCTCTCTCTTTCTCTCCACCCTCTTTCTCATCCCCCACTTTCTTTCTCCCAGCCCCTCTTTCTCTCGCCCCCCTCTCACCTCCTCTCTCTCTCTCACCATTTTCTCTCTCTCTCTAGCTCTCTCTCCCTCTCCCCCTCTCTCTCCCTCTCCCCCTCTCTTTCTCTCCCCCTCTCTCTTGCCCTCCTCTCTCTTGCTCTTTCCCCTCTTTCTCATCCCCCTCTTTTTCTCTCCCTCAGCCCCTCTCTCTCTTACCTCCCTCTCTCTCGCCTCCCTCTCTCTCTTCCTCCCTCTCCCTTGCCCCCCTCTCTCTCTGACTCCCCCTTCTCTCTCTCACCCCCCTTATCCCCTTTCTCACCCTTTTCTCTCTCTCTTACTCCCTCTCTCTCTCTTACCCTGCTCTCTCACCCCTCCCTTTCACCGCTCCATTTATCCCCCTCTCTCTACCACCCCCCTCTCTCACCTTCCCCTCTCTCTCTCTCTTACCCCCACCATTCCCCTCTCTCTCGCCCCCTTCTCTCTCTGACTCCCCTCTCTCTCACCCCCTCATTCTCTCTCACCTCCTCTTTCTCTTTCACCCCCTCTCCATCTTACCCCCCACACTGCTCCTTCCCTCTCTCACCCCCCCCCTCTCTCACCCCCCTCTCTCTCTCTCACCCCCTCTCTCTTTCTCACCCCCTCTTTCTCTTTCATCCCCTCTCCATCTTACCCCTTACCTCCTCTCTCTCTCTTGCACCCTCCCTCTTTCTCACAGCCTCTTTCTCTTTCACCCCCCTCTCCATCTTACCCCCTCAACCCCTCTCTCACCCCCCTTTCTCACCTCCCACTCTCTTTCTCTCACCCCTCTCTCTCATCACCCTCCCCCCCCTCTTCCACCCCTCCCCTTTCTTCATCTCTCTACTACTTATCCATCTCCCCATCTCTCTCTCTCTCTCTCTCTCTTCCTCCTATTCCTATCTCTCCCCCCTCCTTTTCTGTCTCTATCCCTCCACCCCACTCTTCACTTCTTATATTCTAATAAGAAATTATGTCATAAATACAGAATCTCAGTAAAAAATGCACTCTGTCAGTAAAGTTTCCATGTAAAAAAAAATAAGTTGTGGAGAAGATGGCAACCCTGTCAGGAAAGAGCTGAGTGGGAGCCGAATGCCCGAACAAAGCAATTAAAATGATTGTAAAGGCAGATTGTTTTCTCTTTAAAATAACATACATGTCATACTTGCCTGCCCTGTGCAGTAATTTTGCACAGAGCAGCGTCAATCCTCTTCTTGGGTCTCCTGCCATGCTCCTGGCCCCTCCCTCCTGCCAAGTTCCCCCATAGCAAGCTGCTTGGTGGCTTCCCAGCAATGGCAAAAAGAATCTCTGTGAGCCTAAGCTGCAGAAAAGAATTGGGCATTGGCTCATTCCTGAACATGAGGGCCCAATAACTCCACAGTTTGCTGACAAGCCCTTCTGTGCAGCTGGGATGCAATATGTGCAGGATGGCTGCCATGAATGCATGTAATGTAGGCAGTGCAATATGTATGTGGAGCTTCGTGTAGGTGTGGCTTGAGTCTGGGTGGGGACACATGGGCTCCGTGATCTCCTATTGCCTGGGGTCCCCATGAGTTGTCAGTCTGCCCCTGAACACAAGGGACATAACTTACAGTTTGTATGATGTGTTCCTTGTGTTGATTCTTGTTTTCAAGAGAAATCTTGCTCTGTCCAAACTCTTCCCCTCCCAGGAGGACACAGGATCTCTGAATGGAGGGTGGCAGAGCTATCAATCACCCACCCCTCCCCCTTTCAGAGATCCTGTATAATTCATAGAAGCTGCAGTATGGCTTCCCTGAATGGTGGATCTTGCAGGAAGGGCAGGTATAGTCAAGCTTTCTTGATGAGAGCTCCAGACAGCCCTTTAGTTGCATTAACCACTGCCACCGTAATATTTTTGAAAAAATTGTTATTATTATTATTTAATGTTTAGATCTGGGGTTTCCAAACTTACCAAAGGGCCAGTTTACTGTCCTTCAGACTTTAGGAGGCCTGACTGTTGCCAGTGTAAGTAGAAAATGCCCTGGGAGTAAACAATGCCCCATCATTGGCATCAGTAGAAGGAATAGGGCTTCATTTCTGGTGTCAGTGGGAGGAATGGCGCCCCATCGATGGTGTCAGTGGGAAGAAAAGTGCCCCACTGTTGGTGCTAGTGGGGGACTAGTGCCATGTATCAGTGGTAGAAATAGTGCCTCAATGTCCAGATAAAGGCAAACAAAGGACTGCTTCCAGCCCCTAGGCCACAGTTGAATAATTGGAGTTCAAAGTTGAGTTCAGAAGTGTTTGTGTCTTTTTGTTCTATGTTCTGTGTGTTTAAAAAATACGCTCTAATGTAGTTTCATTTGTATGCATTGTTTCCATAGAGTTGTACTAACAGTGTTGTCATTTTTGTGTAGATTGTCAGATCAGCAGAGTTCTCAAATGGTGGAACTCTGGGACTGAAACCAGCTGGCTTCTCCTTCCCAGGTGACTTTCAAGCATCATTTGGTTTTCAAACACCCCAGAACAATGCCATGCTGCTTACTCACCAGACACAGGTATGCATTTTTACACAATTTTTCCTTTTTTAAACAGTAAAAGAGTCTCAGTCATTGTACAAAGAGAAATTTTTGACTGGACTAGTACTGTTTTCTAATGTTGCCATTCTTTTCTCTATCCTTATCAATGTGTGTGGTTAATTTCTTTCCAGTCTGATGACCTAAAGGTATCTCTAAAGGATGGAACTGTAACTGTAGAAACAAAAAATGTTCAGCTACAATCAAAGAACGAATATGGAGATGGATCAATGCATTATGTATCTGTGATAAAGCAGAATGATGAGTAAGTACAATTACAGTCATCAAATTAGCTTGTTACTGTGCTAATGATGCAGTATAGCGAGGTGACCTACACTAATTAAAATAACATAAACATTAACTGCAATTGGGATTATAATATAAGACTGTCATACAAAAACTTGTTGAAACCAAATAAATATAATAACTATAATGTCCTCTTCATGTAAGGTGAGGTAAAGGGAACCGGTACTGGAGAAATATGAAGTTATGTATTGATGAGTGTTTCTTATCAAAATGCCAATTGTCTATTATACTGATCCGGTAACTACAGTGATGGAACAAGTGTGCCTTAATTGAAATCCAAGTGAAGTCCACACCACTGATCTACAATTTTTTTGGGATCAGGCATCTAATACTTTCAAAAGGGGTCGGCAAATGTAGCCCACATATTTATCTCAGTATAAGTTAACTTTTGAATGCTGCTAGCTAGAGATAAACAGATAGTGCTGTTTATAGAAAGTGCAATAATAAATCAGTTGGATTTTAGAGGAAACAGCAGGAGATTAAATACACGTTGTAAAATACCATCCAAAATGTTTCTTCTCTGTCTCTTGAGATTAATTAACACTTTTGTAGTTTCCTATATATGGAGCAGCTAAGCCAGAAAATACTATTTATATGGCACTGCACATGGTCTTTCAATTTAAAGCTGATTTTTAAAATATTATTAGTGAAGGAGCATTATTTTTCTTCCAGTTGAATTTGATCTTGTATTTTTGTCCTGGAATAGTACTAAATCTCTAGATTTAGGTAGCATATATAAATAAATAATTTCCTTAAACTTATCTTTAGAGAAAGGTGCTTTTGAAGATTTTCCTTTATAAAAGCATCTGCATGGAATTATTAACTTTGTGATTTTGCGAAAAGTTGTCATAAAATTGTGAAAGCAATCCTCAACATCAAATCTACAGCTTTTGCTTTCTTGTTTAAAATGTGTAGAAGATATTCTTGTTTTCAGAGCCAGTGCAAATCTATTATGCGTCCTAGGCAAGACCAGCTACTTGCACCCCCCCCCCCCATCCCCCCAAAAAATACAATTTCAAAATAAAAGTCCACAAGAGCTAATCCCTAATCCTTGCCAACGTTCGCGCCATGTGGAGACTGACAGGGGAGCTAGGAGGAAGTGGTGTTGCGCGCAGCACAGTTTGTGCGACACCCCATTGACTGGATACCTCTTCTTCATGGATTGGCTGAAGTTTTCAGGCGATGGCTTCATCTCCAGCTAACATCATCCAGTCCTGTTTGGGGACAGTGACACCAGGACCCAGAAATTACATTTCACACATTGCTTCTTGATGATTAATAGGAAGGGGAGATCAGTGAACAGGTGTTCGCTGATCTCCCTCCCTTCTACTGGTGGCACCCACCATGCAAGTCCCAGGTCTGCTTATGGGTGCGCGGAGCCTGGAAGCATGGCAGGGCACGTGGGGGGTGTGGAAGTAATCTGGAGGCTGCACATCTATTGGATCATTTCCACCTGACAATCAGATTTACACATACTCAATGGAATGCTTCCTGTTACTTCTTATTTACACTTGTTTTTAAGGGACATTACAAAGGTGCAGCTGAGCCACACTTTTACTGTCCCTCAACTACTACCCATTATGCTGCAAAGGCACTGCCAACGTAGTACATCAGCGGGGAGTTTTGCACAACACTCCAGCACTATTGCCATACTACGGTGGTAGTGCCTTTGCAGCACAATGGGGAGTGGTTGGGGGCCAGTAAAAGTGTAGCTCATCCGCACATTTGTAATGTCCTTCAAACACAAGTGTAAATAAGAACTAACAGGAAGCATCTCACTGTGCTTATGTGATCATCATCATTATTATGATGATGATCACACAATATACAAGATGCTGTATGCCTGTCTGTATACAACGTATGGCTATATCTCTGTTTGTGCCTCTTAAAACAGAAATTGTGAGCATGCCTGTGCATTAGGTTCCCATTGCTGCCTGTGTACTCTGCCACCACTCGGTTGAATTACCTCCCGCCACCGGGCTACAGCCTGGCCTTCCGCCCTCCACAGCGGAGGAACTGATAATCGTTCCACCAGTGAAAGTCTGTGACCAGCCATGGGGGGTGCCACTGATCAGCATTGCAAAGCCCAGCCCGGGTTTAGCCGCCTGCGCCTGTAATTAAAAAAGAGTCCCTCTCTGCTCTTCGCCTTCTGGGTCCCTCTGATGGGGCCCAGGGAAAATATTATTAATCAAAACAAACTAAATAATTTCCTTGTGCTAGCATAAACAGAAAGTAAATAAAGACTGCTGCATCCACTGCACAATCTAGATACTAGATGTAAAACAACTACTGGAAAAAAAAGGGGGTGTGCCGTCTCTTAAATATTTCAAAGGGTAATTGTGCATACAATATCAAACCATAATATTATAGAGAAAATGGCTAATGTGAGCTCAATATATGCAATAATATAAATAAATAAATAAATAAAAAGATAACACCAAAAATGATTTTGCGCCAAAACACCTTACTCAACTTTCAAAAAAATGTTAATAATCAAATAAAAAATAAACCTAGAAGAGTATATTAGCCCCCCTATTAGCGGCCTTGGCGGCAGTGTGCCCTAGGCGGCTGCCTAATTTGCCTATTGGTAGTGTCGGCCCTGCTTGTTGTACATTCAAAGCTTTTATAAGAGTTTCCTACAATAACACAGAGGGCCCCCCCCCCACATGCACACATATTTTACAAGAAAAGGGAGTTATAATTCTAGATTCTACCTTTAGCACCATCTTAAAATTTGGTGCTGTTCTGCAACTATACTAACCGATTGGTCTTGTAAGAGATCTGTTGTATCTAAATAACTGACATTTAAGGTCAATGGAATGAGTCTAAACAAATAATTTGATTCAGATTCTGCCAGGGGTGTTAGCATAGTGTGGTGACTTTTGCCTTTGCTTTTGTGTTGAATACAGGAAAATGTGCAGTGAAAAGCTCTTGCATGTAAATGTAACAAAGAGATATAAATAATCCCTACAATACAACTGTATAATTAATGAGCAGCCATATTGCTTTGACACATGATTATTAGGTGAATCCTGAAACAAAATACACCATATATATTTTAAACAAGATAACGTAAATGACGATCACTGTTCTTTTTTTAGGTTGAAACTTTTAGTTGATGACAAGGATGTGACAGAAAACGCGGATTCCTCTAGAACCTCAAATTTATCACCCACGGACATTTACCTTGGAGGACGTGGATTTAAAGGCTGTGTCACTAATGTTTTCATTTCCAGGTAATGCATAGCATGTCATACAATATGCTATTATACATATACCACTTTGGACAGGGGACTGCATCCCATTAAATATGTCAGACTTGGGGTTGACAAGGGCAGTTCAAGCCAAATACCTGTAGCCAGTGGCGTCCCGAGGCAGGTGTGGGGGGTGCACACTGCACCGGGTGACACCTACTGCACAGAGTGAAACCGGACCCACACCACGAAAAGATAAGTTGTAAAGCAAGCCGATGATCTCCGCATGATGGATCTGATTCATTCGGCAGGGATCGTCGGCTTTCTTTACCACTTACCTTTTCGTGGAGCGGGCCGGGTGTCACCCCATATAGGTTCCATGCCAACGATCCCCGCAGGATGGATCGGATCTGTGGATTGGGGAGCATAATGGATCGGACTCCGATCCAATATGCTCAGTCCACAGATCAGAACCATCCTGCGGGGATCGTCTGCATGCAACTTATACGGGGTGACACCCAACCTGCTCCACAAAAAGGTAAGTGGTAAAGAAAGCCGATGATCCCCACAGAATGGATCAGATCCATCCCCGCTCCAGACCATGGAAGATGTAGAACCTTAGTCATATTTTGCTGTCTGAGACCTGTTGCGGAGATCCACTCTTGATATTTGTCATATTAAAATTGTCACCAGGAAAAAGTGAGGTGAAATAAAAAATTGTTACTGAAACAGTAATGGTAGGAGTATCTACATATGGGGGGCATCTGTACCAGTGACAACTCCTAAGGGTGGGATTTTGGGGTGATTTCAACTCACTTGCTGTCATTCCACCAGGACAGGAAGTGGAGGGAATTCTTCCCATAGTGACAAACAGTAATACAAAAACGATATATTATAAATTTCTCCTATCCAAAACAAACAATTCTAAATGATGTTCTAAGATGCCTGCATACTGTATACACTTTAGATGGCATTCAAAAATGCAGCTATGGTCCTTGTGCCGTTGGGGCTGCAAATCTTCCGAGCATCACAGATCACTACATAAAATGAAAGGACAGCTCTGCCATTCATTTCAGTGCATAGGGAAGGAGAAGAATAGTAATTGAGAGGTCTTCCTAACCTGAAGATCAATGTTAGCCCAACCCCCAATTGTTAGGTAGCAGATGTCTGCCTGGCACACTGTGATTGTCAGTCAACTTGTCAAAAAACAGTCTGTATGAGAGATTGTCTTCTTACATCAATGGTCTGCATATGGTTGACCATAGATGAATATTTTTTTTTACTGAGACGAACAGGCACTGTGGCATCCGCCTGTTCACAGTCACTCATATGCCATCATGACACACTTCAGTCTTTTTGCTGAAAAAGAATTGGAGTGCATTTGTACTCAAAGATAAAACACCTCTTACAAGTCCTGATGGTTGCGTATTTCTTGTGTATAGCACCTTTTTATCCAACGGAGAAGCACAACTTCTCTGGCAGGTTCAAAGGTTTACTGAAATCAGTATTGAGAGTTTCACATTCCAACAACAGTGCCACCTACTGATAAAATCTGGTGCTGTACCATTACAGTTAGACATACGGTAAATATCAATGTACCACAAACAATAATGATAAAAGTGTGAAATGGAAATCCATGATCACTTTCCCATACACAAGCAGATCCAGTTATCCAGTCTAAATATGATGTGGCAGGATCTTTGTAACATTTCAGCATACCTATACCATATGACCTTTAGGTGTCCTTTTCTGAAATTGAGATCAGCGGCAATCCTGAGGATCGTTGCTGATCTCAGATCATTAGTGGTTTAGGAAACAGAGATGATCAGTGGGGAACATGTTCTCCGCTGATCATCTCAGCACACAGATGGGCAGTGTATGAAGGAGCCATGTCAGCCCTTCACTGGTGATCTGTGTGAAAATTCTCCCTCCAGATTCTCCAGCCCAGAGGTAGAGAATTGGGGGAGCAGCAAACGAAGCATCAGTAATTTATTGCTGCTTAGTAAACTGTATTGGACTGATCTCTTACTGTAATCTCATGAGATTACAGTAATAGCAGCCGTTTTCTAGCATTCGAAGTGTTTTTAGATCTCTTCTCTCCTCATTAAGAAAGAAGCAATCTACACCGCTTCATGAACAGGCATTCAGAGAACTGTCTCCTCTGAGAATGCCAGAGGACTCAGCAGGGGTCATTTACCACTGCTTGATAAAAGGACACCTATATACCCTATAAAAGGCTGCATAAAACAACATTTCTGAGCACTTCTGGAGATACGTTAATTGCATCCTGAAGAAGAAACCTGAATGTTTCCTGAAAGTCAAACTGATCGCAAAAAGTAAATAGTTGTTTTTTTATAGGGATCATCTAGAAATGTCAGTTGTTCCTAAACAGTACCCTGTTCTGGGATTTCATCTAAAAGAACAGCAGTGCACTTCTTGGTATTCTAGGGTTCTTAGGTATTCCTTTGGTAAAAGCTCCATAGCTGTATGTCTGTGGTGTGGGATGTCAGGCATGGTTTTGGGATCTTGACTGGTCTTAGCAGATATAGCAGATATGACTGGGATGTGCAGTTTTCCCTGCTGTGTTGCTCATTGCTCTTTTTGCTGGAGACTCTGACAAGCAGTAGGAGCCCTGGCTTCACCAAAATAGTCGCCTTCACGCAAAGTCATAATGCAGAACAAGACATGTTAAATCGATAATGCAGAAAAACAGCTTCAGGGAGACCACAGGCAAAACTGATAACTAGTTCTGTGTCCTCTGCCTGCCATTGTTTGGGAAGCATCTTCATGAGTTCAGTTCGTCTTAAGTCCCCATTTCACACTGGACGTTTTTACAGCTGCTGTTTTTGGCTTTTGATGTTTTTTTCTAAAGCCAGTAAACTCCCCAGCATGTTATCCTATGTGCCCATGTACACATAGACTATAATCAATGTTTTTTGGCTGGAAAAAAACCCAGGACTAGTGGGTTTCTAGAGGAGTTTTTTAGCTGGAAAAACGCTCTAACGCTAAAAAAAAAAATGCGGCAAAACGCGGTAAAACATGGCAAACCAGCGTTTTTGGACTTTTTTTGATTTAAAAAAATTTTTTTTCGGTACAAAATCCTAAAAAAACGCAAACACGAAAAAATTCGGCAAAATATCGCTAAAGGCTAATACAAAAACACTGAAAAAGCTCATGTTTTTAACGTTACTTTACACAGCTAATTTTATCAGCGTTATTAAAACGCCCTGTATGCAAGGAGCCTTAAGATTCACTTTAACTGTACTAGTATGTATTTATATTAATAGTTACTTCGTTCTTTTCCAGAGCACAACGAAAGCCTACTATTCAGGACCTTGCTGTGAACACAGAGAAGAATAAGGTGTCGCTTGGAGCATGCACGCAAGATGAGGCCCCATTGCCTCTCATACTGAAGGCAATGAAGCAACCGTTAAGCCTCAGCCTTAATGACTTTGGCACGGTAATGTAAAATCTTCTGTCTTCACTTTTTTGACTTTTAATAATAAAGTGCAAATATTTTGTGCACCTCTTACAAAAAGTGTAATACACTGTACAGTAAGGTTCATTTATAATTCTATATAGTTTTTTAAAAAAAATATTGCATTCCTCATTTAAACTAAAATGATTAAATCCATTAGGACCCATTTGGAAATTGAGAGAAAACAATGCAGTACTTAATGAAAGGATGATGTTTCACTAATGAGTTACCTAACAACAAGATATTAAAAAGAACACATTGCGGTTGAAGTAGAAAATGAGTAGAGATTGATAAGCTTAGTAAATATGGCAAAGCTATGTTTACTATAAATACCCAATTTCCATGAAAAAAAAGAATGCACACCTTGGTAAAAATGCAAAATAATCAGCACATGGAAGTTTTTCACCCTGCTCACATTTTATATATTACACTCAGGGGCGGACTGACCATTTGGAAACTCGGGCACTGCCCAAGGGCCCAGGGTCAGTAGGGGGCCCCATGAGATGCCCTGGTACCTTTTTCATAGGCTTTTTTGAGTCTGGGCAAGTACATAGGGGCCCCATGATCCCCTATTGCCTGGGGGCCCCATGAGTTGTCAGTCCGCCTCTGATTACACCACTATTTGTGGATAACAGGTACACCAAAGGATATATTTGTGAATATAAAACAGTGAGTGTGCAATTCACCAAGCATTCACTGGTAGTAAATCAATCACTGTCATTTAAAACATCACCAAATATATTCTCCTCCATCGAATCTTTGCCGAATGTCAGTTGAATTGCTTTATAAATATGCCCCTAACTAAACATGTTGAGTAATTTGACTTGTTTGTCTCTTGAAACAGTATGACCCGAACCTAAATAGCATTCAGAAGAGCTGCCCTATTCACGCAAACTTGACATCCTCTCCGGGATCCTTTATGTTTGGTGATTCTCCAAAAAGCCACTTGATCTATGATCTAAACAAGCAAATTTTCAAAGAGAGGTAATACTATTACAGGAAAAAAATCGATCTACCTGCAAAATGACTTCTTGAGAGCACAACAGTGTCTTTGTCCGACATTTTTTTGTTAATCTTAGAACAAGATAATCATGAGTACTTTGTCACTTATACAAGCAGCACATACAGTATATATTACAGAGATCCACAGACACACTGAAGGATCAAGGAATGTAAAGTGTTTATGAAGGGAGAGGCTGCAACCAAAAGTTTAATAAACCAGCACAAAACAAACTCAGCGAGGCTAACATAAATCCACACTATTATTCCATAAGTAACAGAAAGCTGGACTACAGGTTATTATTTTATAGATTGCTTCTTTTGAAGCATCTAATGATACCCTGATTTCCCATAGCATATTATTAACTTGTGACAGAAGTGAAATTCCGAGACTCTTGTTAAGATTGCGGTGGTGATATGTTAGAATGACTTATTTTTCTTGGTTTACAGAAGCCACTGTCAAATATGAACCATTCAATTTGTGTAAATCTGTGAACAAGCACTATGATCCATTTTGTTTTCCATTACACAGTTATTCCTCCATTGGGTGCCCCCATCTTGCTTCTTGCACAGAATAAGGAAGGTGAAGCCAGGCTGACAATCACAGCCCACACATCAAAACCACATCTGTACTTTCTATGGCCATTATATGTCACTGATTGCTGTGCACATCAGCAGCTGGGAACAGTGGTTAGAGCTGGAGATGAGAGCTTGGATCCTGTATTAAAATGATATGACAATTCTACTTGTTCATGCTTTGCAGGTCACACTTCTCATTGGAGGTACGCACTGTCAAATCGTCTGGCTTGATACTCCTAATGACTGACAAACAGGCATCCAGTCACTTGGCTCTTCATATATCCAAGGGGCACTTTGTGTTTTCTTTGGGAACTAAAGACAACAAAATAAAAATAAGAAGCCAAGACACATACAATGATGGCAAGTGGCATACAGTAAGTATCTAAAGATATATTTTATTATTAATAAAGTGTACATTATGACATATGACTATGACAGTAAACATGTTTGAAGGAAAGTTCCAGTTACAATAGAAACACCCTGTTTGCTTATGACAGTATGATGTCACACAGGGGGCTAACCCTTCCACAGCTCTTGGTGTTCGCTAGTACAAGACTTTTTACAGACTTCCCTTTTAGCACCATCAGCTAGAAAAATCTGGCCAAACAGATACAAACAGCTTAAAAATATCCTCAGATTTTGGTTCTGGGAGGCTAGTGGACAAGACTGGGAAATTGTTCTCAAGGTTCTTTACAAGGGGACTTTAGATGCCATGAAACCCTCTGTCTTTCTACAACAATAAGTGCTTATTCAGCCGTGGAATCCCAACCCAAGGGAGCTGGTTATCACCTTTAGATGCTGCATTGAGAGCTCATTAAGTAAACTGCCACTTTGCAGCTTTTGCCGACTCAGAAGCTTTACTTTTTTTTTTTACAATTTTTTTTTCTTGTTTTGAATTTTGATGTACAGTATTTAAAGACAATGAAAGAATATTCACCATATCTCTCAAAAACAGTCATTTTGGAAGAAATGCTTTTATGTGGAAACACTGCTGTCTTTTTTTGTGGAATTGTGTGATATCTCCTTAAAGTGGACCTACACTGCATCTGAGCACCACAAACCAAAAACGCTATTTAATTCATTTTTAATATTCAAAGCAAACTCACCCACCCATCCATGAAATGACTTTGAAAAAAACACCCACTAACATTTCTGGCTGTAGCCATCTTGAGTAAGGGCAGATGATTCATGTAGCATTTTCTTCCTGAAAACTATCTGCCCTTAGCTCAGGCAAGCAAGCAGGAGAGTGTGCCTAGCTGAGAAATCCCCTCCTCCCCTGCTGAAGACTCCTGGGATGTATGACATCATATGCCTAGGCCTGGAAACCATGAAGTAACTGAAGAAATGTTAAAAAAAAAGTTTAGAAAAAGTAAATATGATATAATTTCTATCTATTTACCAGTGCTAGCAGTTTAAGGATTAAAAATAGTCAATGTTGACTGCGAGGCTGAAGTTCTGCTTTAAGTGCTTGAGCAATTATAAATATGATTTTACAACTTTCCCCTTGTAAAGTGTAGATGGTATTGCTGTTCTTGTACATTCTATGGTCAATAATGTTTTAATAATAATATTCCTCCATACTGATTATTATATTGCAATATTTTATTAAAATTCCAAGGTTTACTTAGTATTACTTACCTCAGCAAAACTCAAAAATGTTTTTCTCATCTAATTTCATGTGAATGTTTTTTCACTTTCACCCGTTCATCACGGAGATTTCTGATTTGATATTCATCTGAATTATCTCATCCATTTATTTTATATTGGACTGTTCACCATTGTCACTTTATATTTATATTTATTTGCAAATATAACTTACTCGCTGATATTCTGCGGGACATTCATGCAATATTATTCACTTTAGCGCCATTTCAGCGCCTTCACTTTGAGTATGTCACTATTGTCACTTTTTTCATTAGCATTTTTGTTTTTTTAATATTGTATAGCGACGCATTCTATGTTTTTTCATGCTTTTGAGGATATAGGGGTTCATCCTTTTATGCCAGCTGCTTTATGTGAGTCTGAGCGCTTGCTTCTTTTTGCTTTTTTGATATGTGAGTGTTTTTAGCCTATGTATTTCCTAATATTGATTATTATATTGCAATGTGTTATTAAATCTCGTCTAATTTCACATTAATGTTTAAAGGTTGTGTTCAGCTGGGATGGGCTAAATGGCCGACTTGTCATTGATGGGTTAAAGGCTCGAAAAGGAAGCATGAGAAAACAGTTCAGCCTGGAAGCTATGACACTACTTTTACCTTGGTAGCGTTCCATCTCTTAAAGTACAGGTAATAATTAATTACATACATTAGCCCTACATAGGAAAATCCTATTATTTTAAAATGTGAGTCACGGCTCAGTCACCATGAACTCTTACTACATAACATTTCTGTACACTCATGGCATGAAAGTGTCAGTACAACCAAAACTGATATCTCAGCTTTCCAGTAGATGCTGGAGATTTTAATCTGCTCTCTGCTTATGTCATTCCAGAAAACATAGATTTCCAAGCTTGAATTCCTGATGTGGCAGTTAATTTGAAATTTTAATTAATTGTATGTTAAATACCAGTTTTGTAGCAGGATCAATGGGATTACAAAATGGGCAGAAAGAGCCAGGCAGTCTTATCACTGAATTATTCAAAAATATATAATAAGCTCACCAGATAGTGCCTATAACTGAGAAATCACCTGTGGATGGGCTGACCTTTTAAACAAGCTTAACAATTCAAATGCATTAGCTATAGTAGTATGTGCTTTATAATAAAAGACCAATTAATAGTTCCTGGAAGAAATATGGTCCCGCAGCTTGAAGCATGGGCACCGAAGGAGTAGGACAGCTGTTAAAATTTACTGGTCACATTTATATATTTCAGGGTATGCCAAAGAAAAGCTTTACTGGTTGTCTGAAAAATGCTAAGATAAATGAGGTGCCTTTAGAAAAACCATCACGCACAATCGGTGTCATCCCTTGTTATGAAGGCTCTTTTTGAACCAGGAATGTATTTTGCTCAAGAGGAAGGATACATTGTTGCAGGTAGGTAAAGTTGCCAATAAGCAATATCATAGAAGAAATGGGTGGGTGGTATTTCTTACTGCCAACAGCCCTAACTTAACTGAAAATGTCATACAAAACCCTCTTTATGGGACTTTTAAGGCAGATATAACAATTGTGTATATTTCACTACCATTTGGATAATGTGATATACTTAATAATGGAATTGCTTCCTAGACACAGCATACCCCTGCTTTTTTCCCTGAAGGAGTTTTTCCAAAACGTTTTAGGCTTTGTCCTGATGTCTCTACAAAACTTTAAGCCCTGGCAGGCATACTACAATTTTTCATATATTATGGATACATGGAGTTGTAATAATTTTAGCCATGTTTATGTAAAAAACATTTATACAGTATTTTGTGTGTGTAATGTATTTGTATACTTTGTGGATGTTTTGTAATAAACTTGGCATACTAGCCTTTTATTGAAATATACACAATTGTCATATCTGCCTTTAAAGTCCCTGTCAGGGGGTTTTGTATTATTTTTTTCAATAAACAATTTTAAACATTTGCACTAGATAAGATGTCCAGATGAAACTCCTGATTTTTCTTTTTATAGATAGTACTTTTGACACAGGACTTGAATTTGAAATTAGCTTTGAAATCCGACCACAAGACCTGTCCAATGTATTATTACATCTGGGGGACAAAACAGACAACAGACTGAGCCTTTACATGGATAACGGGAAGGTAAGATGTTTACAATCTAATTACTAGTGCTGTCTCAGAAAGGACATATATCTCCCTGAGAACACTGGGATGAAGACAACTATAGGTCCTTTAACAGTACAGCCAGTCCTGAAGTGTGTTATAGGACTTACCAGATGAGAGGAAATGGCATGTGTGTTACCGCTTCCTTCCCTCTTTTAAATGATAAGATGTTGGAAAATAAAGAGCACTTTTGATGCCAAAATGGTTCTTTATAGCCTTCCAGGATAGCCCATTTGCATCCCTCAAGAGTTGGTTCTGGCCAGCTCAGTGGATTGCTTCAAAAAAGGCCTGGATTCTTTCTTAGATACACAGAATATAACTGGATACTAACATTTATAGGTAAAGTTGATCCAGGGAATATCCAATTGCCTCTCGGGGGATCAGGAAGGAATTCTTTTCCCAGCAGGAGCAAATTGGATCATGCTTTGCTGGGGGGTTTTTTCGCCTTCCTCTGGATCAACTGTGGGTATAGGATTATAGCTTTTTTTATGGTTGAACCGGATGGACTTTTGTCTTTTTTTCAGCCAGACTAACTATGCACCTTTTGTATCGAGGAACACATATTCTATATTTAGGTCAAACTATATACACATCGCAGGACTGCTGCATCTTGCAGCCAACAAGGGCTGGTGAATTTTGATGCTGTCTATCTGAAACCAATTACAACTGAAGATCTACATGTCCAACTCTTTCCTTCATTTTTTTTTCAGGTAACCATATCTGTGAATAATGGTGCTGGTGATTTTAAAGCCTCAGTTACTTCTACAGAGGTGCTGTGTGATGGCAAATGGCATACCATAACAGGTGAGAACAATGTCCAACTACCAGTGTCCTTGTATTTATTAATAAATATACAGACACTCCAAACCAAGGAAGACAGCTACAGTATATGTGCTGATTGCTAAATAAAAAGCTAAACTGTCAAATGACATATAATTCTGTTCAGGTACTCCTGTGATTTACATATTTCTGCACACTGCAATATCAGGATGGTAGCGTCACTATTTCTTTCACTGGTAGCTGCCTTTATCACTGGAAAATATATCAGAAGTATGATAATACCAGTTTATTATCCAATGAGAAGGCAGCATGCAAACTGCAACAGTGAATACTAGTATGACCATCCTGGCTATGCAGCTTGGTGGGACTGTGTGAATCACAAGATTGACTAAATGCAAATCTTTAACCAAGTGAAAACAATTTGTATACATATTAAATGTATTTTTTATCTGCTTACCTGGTGTCCTACCTTAAAGAAAATGTATAGTCTTTTGAGTGTTTTTAGATAAACATGTTAGAGGCCAGTTTGATGTGAGCATGGTTGCCTTTACATACAATTTAACAAACATTGATAAAGGGGAAAGATTAGATCCTTTGTCAAGTTTATATGGCTGTTTTATGTTTCCAGGGGGGATATTCACTCTCCTTATCTGCCCTGGTAACCAATGTCAATTAGACAGAAGGTGATGGGAAATACAAAGTCTTAGAGTTGTGTTAGGGAAAGAGATGAGGGGCAATCTTCCATATAGGATAGGTGCTGTGGTGACATTTCTAAAAGTGTATGTGGTTTTCATTTGGGAAGTTACATGCATTCTAAAACTGATAGTAAAAAGCAAACACAATTTTGAAGTACTTTTATACAACATTAATTCAGTCAAAGAATATACAAAGAATTTTAGTACGAATGTTCATACAAGTGAAAATTTGTTAGTATTTAGCCAGCTTAAAGTGGAGTTCCAGCTGAAAAAAAAAAAGTCAGCAGCTACAAAAACTGTAGCTGCTGACTTTTAAAACACAGTCACTTACCTGCCCCTCGGTCCATCGGTGTGCTCACCACCACTGGTTTCACCGGCCGTCTTCTCTCCCTGGCGCCGGCATCTTTAGTGTTGGCACCCAGCTTTGACAGCTTGCGGCTTCACAGCCAGGTGCCCACTGTGCATGCATGAGAAGCGCTGCGCTTTGTGAATGGCCCCGTTGTCTTCTGGGACCTGTCACGTGTCCCAGAAGACTACAGGGAGTGAGGACAACTCCCACTTCCAATCGCCTAGGTGATCAGAGCGGAAGTGGGAGTGGGTACCTGTCAAATTTGGTAGAAAGGTTTTAATGGAAAAAACATTATTACATGTTCTTGCATGGAAGAGAGGAACCAGAGACAATAAAATATAAGCAGGTTAAACTTTAGCTTGAAACACCAAATAGACCAGCCTGTTATTCTGGTTTTATTATTATATTATTGACTAATATCATTGTATTTTGTTCATTAGCATTACAACTGTAGACTGAAAATATAGACAAGGGACATATTGTGATGAAATATGTAAAACAGATACCCAAAGCCAAACAAGCCTGAGAGTAACTAGCAGTTATCATTGTGCTGGATTTATCTGCCTAATTAGTTCTGCATAAAAAAGATCAGCCAAGATAGAAATACATTCAAAAGCTGGAGAATCTCTCAGACATTAAGATTTTATTGTATGCACTGTTGTGTTTTAAAAATGCTTAAGAATTATCATACATTTTACACATTTGTTTTATACTGATGGGTGCGTTAAGCCATTATGAAGTGAAGTTACATAACTATTAATGGTGTTTCTACTTTTTAGTGAGCCAGAAGAGAAATGCTGTTCATCTCTATCTAGACAATGAATCAAAGCAGACAGTAGGTTCCAACTCTGCAATGCGATCAAGTACTAAGGCTCCATTGTACATTGGAGGAGTCCCAGGTAATGCAATTAAAAGGGGGGCTTTATTACAAGAATTAAGATATTGCAGAGCATGCAGCAATGTAAAATTGGCTAATAGCGGGAAAGTATTATTTAGAGATGATAGGCCTAACTGCTGTAAGCCATACTATTATTGCCATACTATTATTTCATCTATGGGAATAAGGATGATTCAATAAACGCGAGCGACATAATGTGAGGTGGCTTAGGTCTCACTATTCTTGCACTTAGTTTTTTACTTAAAAATGAAGTATGTTTGTTTTTTTTTTTTTTAAATCATGCTTACCTAGGTGGATGAAGCATCGATTTAAGGGTGAGAGCTGAGCGATCAGACACCGCTGATTACTCAGTTCCCCCTGCTGCTCTTACCAAGGACTGGTGACTGTCATTCACCACTCTGCTCTGCTCCCGTTCCCCATCGCTCACTAGAATGCTGGGCTGTGAAGGGAACCGGAGCATCTGGCTCAGGCTCTCAGCGGATCGCTTAGAGCCTGAGCCAGGTGCTTTTTTCCAAGCCTAGACCGGCTGAAGCAACATTAAATAAAAACCAGTATACCCCCAAAATAAATGCAAACCCCAGATTACCACAACCCGAAAACAAAGGCCTGTGTTTTTTTAAAATAAAGCCTTGTAGCAAAAAAAAGAAGTTTGCTATGAATGGGACAGCAGCTACAAATGACCACTGACTTCAAATCAACACAAAATAAATGTAAGACAAAAAATCCACAATAATAAGAATAAAAAAGGCATCACATGGGTTGATTGCCAAAGAGCTAGCAATCAGAATTAAAGTTCATTTTCCTAACTGACGCCAATCTCTTCCTTAGCAGTTTGTTAGCCTTCCCTTCAGCAGCTTACGATTCACTGGCACTATGGCTACTTTGTTTTCCCCCTCTTTGTATAGTGAGGTGGTTGGCTTAACCAAAAGCCACCTAAGGGCTCAAGCTCATGGGCCTATAATATGTTTAATTCAGACGTGTAATTATTACAAATCTGAACACAGCAGTATTGCATACAAAGACTTTAAATAATGGTCTGTAAAGTGAAATATAAAGTGCATAGAAATCTGTAGGTATGTTATCATATCTTGGGTATTCTTGCTAAATTTTTACAATAATAATACTGTGATGTAACATAGTTGGGGGACTGGAAGTTATGAAAGGGCATCATTTTGCACACATATCTAGGACAAAAGATATTTTAAATATAGTCCATAAGGCCTCTAAAATCAAACAACTGTGTATTCTGTCAGCACCTCAGCAGCAACGGTTTCTTTGTCTCCCCCAACTCTGCAGATGGGCATATGTGCTTTATAAATACCTACGTGCTCTACACCTAATGAGTGCAGCTACTTCATGCCGTAACATGTGTTGATCAGAGCCTATATCCTTGGCCAATACTTTTGTACTTGTCTGCCCAAAATTCATATCATGCTCACAGAACATTTTGTCTGTCTACAGATGCCTTGGAAATGCCATGGCTTCCTGTCAAGAGATCCTTTGCGGGCTGTATGAAGAACCTGAAAGTCAATAAAAAAGATATTAACCTAAGTAAAACCTTAAAACTCCATGGTGCCGTCAGCCTAAGCAAATGTCCTGCAGTGTAACTGATAAATCTATTTCACGTATCACTCTCTCGGGAACGTTCATCAATATGGGTCTATTGAGATCTGCTGCACAGACTTTTTCTCATATTAAGGACTTATTCTAGGAATGGAAAATGGACATTGGGAACACTAAACACTTCTGATATTCTCATTTGCAGTTTGTTAAAATGTAATGCCAATCTGAATTGCAACTACCTCAATTAGAAGAGCTGTTATTTGCAGATATAATGGTGCCTTGTGGGAAAACACTCTGTTTAGCTGTGATGGTTTATATGGTCTTGGAATAGTTATCATGATAAACTCAAAGTGAAAACAGAGACAACACAAACTCTTTAGCTTTTATCTACTGTATTATCAAATCCTGGGATTTATTAAGACACGGCAAGGACTTTGTGGTTACAGCTTTTTTTTTTTTTTTTACTAGTGCTGTCCAATCCTACACCACTGCTCTTAAATTTCAACATAGCTAAAACTATTTTTTGTCACCTACTATGGATATGGTTTTACATGTTAACACTTGTCAAAAAGACCATAACAGAAACACTGATTTTTATAGGATTTCCAATGAATAAAGATTTTAAAGTGGTATGTGCTATTGTAAATGTTTTGTTATAATAGAGTTTATAATTAAAATGTACAACAACTGTCTTGGTGTATGTGCACTGTACTCTGCTGTTCTGTGGGTGGTATCTGACAGCTTCAGTGAGGTTGAGCACTGTCCATGATAACTATGTATTTATACTCTGTACCAAAGGTGTCAAACACAAGGCCTGTGGGCCGAATCCGACCTTTGCATCTCTCCTGCAGGTACCCCCTTGTCTCCACCCCCACCTTGTCTCAGCAGTTGGCAGCAGAAAGGAGAATATAACTCCTCTGCCAAATCCTGAACCTCTCAGTGCAGCTGCAGCACGCCCTCATCTCTGCCTCCCCTGGTCTCAACATTCAGCAGACTCTGATAACTGACTCCACTCCTCCTCTGGTCCTCCTCCAGACTCTGCACTTTCTCCTTTCCAGCTCTGCCCCCAAAGGGGGTGCATGGTGATGTTAGGGAGGGTGTGGGATTCTTGACACCTGATGTAATGGAGGGTGGGGTGCTCTGGACATCTAGCCTTACAGATACAACCAGCCCTTTGAGGGCAGCCATAATGCTGATACGGCCCGCAATTAAATGAAGTTTGACACCCCTGCTCTGTACAAACTTTGAAGATACCTTTCTCTTTTAGGTCAAAGCAGTAAACTGAAATTTAAAGCCTAGCCCCTGGGAAATCAAAAATTGTTCTTTGCAGTTTTGAGTTTTCTCTCTTGACTACAAGGGTCAAGTGATTGTTTAGGTACTGGAAAAAGCTTTAATTATCTGATCCTTCGCTTCCCCTGGCAGCTGACGCTCTCCTCTACTCCCTTAATTTCCAGCTTGTGAGCTATCCCTCTGTGTCCTCACATCCAATGCAGGACTTGGGACCCTGCTTTGTACTTGATGACATCAGAGGGCATAGGGGAGAAGAGGCTGACCAGTCTAGCAGCACAAGGGAGCCTGCAAGAGCAAAGGATCAGGTAAGTAAAAGTGCCTATTCCAGTATTCTAGGCCAAAACAAGTATTTAGCCCTTGCATTGCAGCATTACAAGGCTAATCCCATTGCCAGGGAGGATTTTTGGTTTCCCCGGAGGTCAGCTTTAATCAAATGCCAGAAAAATGTTACAATTAGAAAAAAAACCCTTCAATCTTAATATACATAATATGAAAGAAAATGTAAACTCACAAACATATGACAATTATTCTTTATAGGAGTATCTGCATTAAATACTTAGACAGGGGAACCAGTGAGTTCAAATCACAGCATTGCCTGTTATGACTGGACTGAGGTGTTATCAAAAATTTTAGGAGCTTGAAAACCAAGAAAAAGTAAACATTTATGGGGACAAAAAGATTGATCTTTGCACAGTGTTTGGGGAGAATGAAAGAAGACTACATGATGCTTTTTGGAGTTGGGCATTAAGCTGTTTGTGCAAAGTTCCGCCTTAATCCCACATATAAATGCTAGTGACTAGTGGTTGTACCAGGTTGAAAGATGTTACATACACTCTTCCCAGTGCGGAATTGTGGGCTTTCACAACATTTCTTCGTCTTCCCCATGCCTTGAAAAACTGTATACAGAGGGGAAAAAAGTATTGGACACCCCAGACCTTCAGTAAAACTTCAGTATTTTTGGGAAATATTTTCCCCATAACTCTAATGCTGATGAAACTAATCTTTGGGGTCACTGATGTTCATGAGAAATAGATTTAAAGAAGAACTCCGGGATAGGCAAAAGTCACCTATTATGTCACCACCCCACACAAATACTACACAGTTAATAACATTTTGAAAAGCCTTACCACTGAGAAGAAAAGTCTAATTACATTCAGGGATTACATCATATTCTTTCCTCTCTCTCTGCAGTAAAAGGAAACTATAGTTCCCATCAACTACAGGGAATTGTAGTGAATATGGGCGGGTACACTAGGCCTGTGCATGTTGAATGTGTCTGAGAGTTTCACTCTGTCCACCACTGCAAGTGGAGCTGAATTACATCTCTGCTTCTTAGAGAAAGAGCTACAGAAGGGATGTGTCAAAGCCAGAGGCTGGGGGTATAGGAGGCACAGCAGCCACTGGTCTTACAAACAGGAAACTAAAGAGAATTAATGGTTTGATTTGAAAATGAATAGGCTATTTCAGAGCAACTACTGAGTGAACCAGAAGATGGATGACATATTCAGTGAAGGTAGGAAATCAGCAACAAGGACATGTAAAGACATTTTCACCCAGAGTTCTACTTTAAAGCATCAATTTGTCAACAACATGAATTCTTGTGTCTTTGTGCTTTTGTCATGCCCTCCATCAGTATGCTTTTAGTCTATGTTCACACGGGTGCTGGGTGCAGAAGAGAATCTCAAGTTATTGGGACATTTCCATTTTACCCGACAGTAAATAATCCCAAAGATTGTCTGTAAATAGGTCTGCAGTAATGGAGCAGAGAAGACAGCATTATGTGTCCAATGTTTTAAGACAAAAAAAATAATTGTTAATAAAATGCTTGATTTTAATGAGAAATGTGCACAGAGTATTATCCTTCAAGCTACCACCTCTTAAAAATTAATGAGCGAAGTTAAAAAGACAGCTTTGCACCTTGAAGGTCTTATATGTTATATATCAAAGATTTGTCTTGTAAGGAAGCATGATCAATGCACTGAAATCTGTTACAGAAAATAGCAACAGCTAAGCAAGTCAGAATGTCAGCAGAGAGCTTGTCATGTATTGTTATCAGAATCTAAGGCAAGGATTAAAGTGGACCTATCATTAAAATCCACACTTTACATGAACTAATGTCAGTAATACCAAAATATATTATTATATTGTGTAGAAAAGTTCAATTTTATTGCTATGAATAAAAAAAAACTACACTCTCTTATGATCTAAAGCAGCCTGATTTCATTATGCCCTGCTAACATGCATTGTATTTCACATGTGACTGTAGAAAAGCCTACTTTTTTATGTAGACAGATCCTGTCTCATAGATTCTCAGTGAGATTAGAGAAGCAGTCCTCTACAACCAACCAGGAAACAAGTCCTTGATATGTAATGTCCAAGTATGACCACATTTATAATTACAAATTATCTATGGAAACCTGACTTTTAAAAGCTGAATAGATTATTTGAGATTAACACTTTAAAATGTATTTCTAAAAACATGGTGCTAATAGTTCCTGGTTAAGGTGAATTATTGCTTCACCCATGCGGGGCAAAGCAACAGGTTAATGCCCTACTCCACAGCAGCATATAGCTTACTTTAACTTTTACACTTAGCAGATCAGTGATTGGTAGCCAAAAGAGATCCCTTTGTAAACCCTGATGCCCCGTACACACGATGAGAATATCGGACGAACGATCGGTCCTTTTTTTTTGACTGCTTATCTCACATCAAAAGTGAAAAGGTTATTAAAGATACAAAAATTCTCCTATGAAAGAAAAGAATTTCGAAAGTGATGTCATGTATTATATTGTATTTGTATTGTATTTTCAGACGACTACTGTACTGATTAAACGAAAATTGTACGATCTGGTATATCATAATACGAGAAAAATTTTTTCGCTTGTCCCTTCAAATATTATCGCACAAATTGTTGTGATCGGCTCTCGAGAGCTGTGTACTAATGGTCCAATTATCGGGCGATCCGTCCTCGTACAAAAATTTTTGTAAATATTCTTATAGTGTGTACGGGGCATTAGTCGTTGGAGTTACATGTTTCTCCATAACTGGAAGTACCTAGAATTTCCTTTGGCTGGGGAGGGGAAGGAAAGGTAAGTTTATGATGGTGGGAATGGAGTTCAACCAGAAACAGAAAAAAACAAATAATTTTAGTGTCCAACTATGTTTAATTGCAGTTTTTAGTGCAAGCCAATTTTGCATCTTAGCTGTACTTTTTTGTGTTGCATTTTATGGCAGTAACCTAATCATTTCTTTGCCCTTTCTGGCTAATGCTACAGATTTTCTCATTGTGACAACCTAGTTTTTAATCTTTTTAATTATTGTCAGACAACACTTCTTCATCAAATAAGTCTGAAATTAACGGGTTTTAAGCCAACATTAAAAAAACAATCAAACAATCACAAAATACAATAATGAGGCACATAACCAAGTTATAATTTCAGTAATTATGTAGTTTATACAAGTATGTCTGCCAGGATCTGAGGTATGACCGAGGTTGGCTCAGAGTCCTCCCTGGACAGCTCAGAGTATTGCCGCGACAATGCATCAGCCCTGACATTCTTGGAGCCAGGCAAATAGGAAACCACATAGTTGAAACGTGACAAGAACAAGGCCCATCTGGCCTGACGGGGCGTCAATCTCTTGGCCTCTGAGAGATAAGTCAGGTTCTTGTGATCAGTAAGAATGCGGACCGGAACCGCGGAGCCCTCGGAAAGGTGCCTCCATTCCTTGAGAGCCTGAATGATGGCCAACAAC